CAAAATATATTATTAAATAAATAATTTAAATATATAATAATAATTTTATATAATAAAATAAATATTTAATAATATTTAAAAATTTAATATAATATTTATTTAATATTTTTATTATTATTTATATAATATTTTAAAATTTATTTATTTATATATTTTTTTAAAATGTTTATTAATTATTTATATAATTTATTTTATTTTTTTAAATATATATAATAATATAATTATTAAAGAATTAAAATAATAATAATAAATATTATAAAAAATTTTTAAATATTAAATTTTATAATATTAAAATTAATATTTATAAATTTATTAATATTATAAAAAATATATTAAAATTTTAAATAAAGATATATAATTAAATATAATAGATAATAAAATAATAATTTATTAATTTATAATTTTATTATTTATTTGATTTATTTTTTTAATTTTTTTTTTTAATTTTTATAATATTAAAAATTTTTTTTTAATTAGTAAACTTAAGGATTATGTCGCTTTTCGAGGTGGCCTCCAATATTAAATAAAGTAATAGTAATATTAAAATTATAGTATAAGTTTGGTTATTTCTATTATATATACAATTTATAAAATAATACATACTTTTTATATAAAAATAACTTTATTAATATACGTTTAAATTATTTAAAATTAATATTAATATTTTTATTAAAAAAAAACAAAAATTTTAACTTAAATTTTATATAATTTAACCTTAAATTTATAAAAATATTAAAAAATATAAACATTATTTAATATATTATAAATTATTTTTTCTTTTTTTATAAACTAAAAATAATAATTAATAAAATTTAACTTTTATTTTAATTTTAAATATTTAATATATAAATATGTAAATATATAAAATATAATTTATAATTACATTATAATAACTTTATAAATATTTTATTTTAAAAATTATAATTGGTATTATTTTATAGTTTTAATTAATGTAAAAATAATAATTTAAATTACATTTTTATATATTTTTAAACTAACATATTATATTAATATTAATATTAAATAATTAAGTGTTATATCGAAAAAATAATACGTAATGTTTTTTAAAATTAATATTTTAAAAAAGTTGCAAATATTTTAATAAACCAATTATTTAATATATATTTTATAAATATATAATTTAAATTATTATTTTTACATTAATTAAAATTATAAAATAATATTAATTATAATATTTAAAACGTTATATTTATAAAATTATTTAAATATATTATATTATGTATATATATAATAAAAATAATAATAAATAATATAAAAAGTTTTATATTTTAAGTATTTTAGGATACTATGCACCTAGTGTTGCTTATTAAATTACCCTTTTTAGATAGCTCCCACCCATTTTCTTGATTTTGGCATAGTTGGACTAATAGTCCACCGTAGCCCCCCTTAATTGGCCCGAGGCCGGTAATGTCCGTTTCCGTAGCTATGAGCTGTGACGCCTCGGCTTGTGTGATTGGATGGCGCTCTGGTGCAGTTCTTCATTTGATGCTTCCATCTTATATTGATAGTATTGGATACGGCCTAGAGACTTATGGTATAAAAGGCCACTATTTACGAAACATTTTTTAGTTAATTAATTACACAATTCAATAAGTATTGTATCACAGGAGTTTAGCTTTTATAATTAAGATAATGTCTATACCGACGCCGTTCCGTTCATTAGCCATTGCCGTAATTACGCAGTAACACTAGTCCACTTTGCACATCAACCCGTCGAATTGAAGGATAGTACGAGAAGCCATATCATTGATTTTATACTTAAGTTGTTAGAATCAGTGCTGTTAGTATTGCGTTTTAATATAATAACTTTATAGACGTTCTACAATGGCAAAACACCCAGTCAAAATGGAAATCATCCCGAAGTTTGGGGGTTGTACTCCCTCATAAGTTATTCTTAACTTACTGAGAGTCTGTGACAATGAGTTGCTTCTTGAGACCTTATGCTGTAAGTTTAAGAAACATAGAATGGTATTCCTGACTCTCTAGCTATATTAAATATCCTACGGAGTGGTAGATACTTACAATGATGAATATATTTCCAGTCCTGCATCGTCCATTTTCCGATCTCCATTCATGATAAGATTAGCTTACCAGTTAAATGTAGAAGTTGGGAATTGATAGTATTGGTATGAGACCTCCTATATGAAAAGGCATAGTAATGCTTAGGAAGCATACATCATCTATATTTATACCGCATTCAATGAATCTAGAATGAAATATACGGAGCCATTGGATTTCGGCAGTTGTATTTGCTTTTACATATATTACCCGGTTCCCTAAGCTATGGACATCACTGAACACGATAGGCTGATTAATATTATTGCAATTTACCAACATACCGTATATGGGAGATAAGACTCACATCATTACCTGAACATATAAGGCTAATTATCCTAGCGCCGTATCTTGGCCGAATGGGTGTCGGTGAGATCTTATACAATAGATATTGGGTCGGATTTGAAATAAGTCGATCGAGCACGGAATCACTTACTTCAACGCTTGTCTGTTATTTTGAGATCGTCCGAGCTGAGTACTGAATTATTCGTGTGCAGTGGTTAGTCGACTCTAAAGCAAGATGAAGTGGCTTTCACTCCTGCTACAGGCCGGGCTTTCCCAGGCTGCTCTTCGATTCGGATGTTCAACCGTATCTATCCAACGTTTAGATCCGCTTGTTGAACCTGGCGCTATTCCATCAGCTCACGTACATCAGATTGTCGGCGGAAATGCCTTCAATGCGACTATGACAGGGGATATTGGCGAGCAAGGTAGTTGTACGACATGCGCATACACTGAGGATTTCTCCAACTACTGGACAGCGGTGCTATATTTTAAGCACGAGAATGGCTCCTACAAGCGCGTGCCACAATACCCAAACGCTCAATTAGGTACCGAAGGTCGTGATGCTCCTGATATTAAGGGAGGCATGACGATCTACTATACTCAAAAGGACTTCAATGGAAATGGAGACCAGTATATTACCGCATTCCAGCCCGTACGTTGCACACTACCGATTCCGTAAGGATAGTTATTCAAAGGACTGCTTAAACTAATGTGCTCTTAGGGTTTCCGTATGACAGTTGGCAGTCCCACCACGAATACCCTCGATGCTGCAAAGGCCAACAAAGGCCTCCGATATACTTGCCTGCAGACAATCCTGACCCGAGGCAGCGAGACTCCAGACTTCCCAAAGCAGCCATGCCCTGCTGGCATAATGGCAATTCACCATTTCCCGAGTTGTTGGGACGGGAAGAACCTTGACAGTCCCGACCACCAGTCCCACATGGTATGTATAGGGCCCATTTGTTCTCATATGCGAATTTTCTCATCTAGGAGTGTCCCCGGGGTCCTTTCGATAAAGTTGCTGACCTTTCGTAGTACAACACCAACCCGGGAGCTTTCCTAGAAGCGGGCCCATGCCCGGCTTCGCACCCCGTGCGTATGCCTCAGGTTGCTTACGAGACAATGTGGAATACAACTCAGTTTGATGGTATGTGGCCTAAAGACGGATCGCAGCCTTTTGTCTGGTCGTATTCAGACAGCCTGGGATATGGAACGCATGCCGACTACGTGTTTGGATGGAAAGGGGACTCCTTGCAACGTGCTATGAATGATTCCTGTATGTTCCATGCATGTGGTAGCCCCGGAATGCAGGGAATACTGAAGACACAGACTGTTGAGGAGATGAACAAGTGTGCGGTTCAGAACACAGTTACGGAAGATACTGAGGGCTGGCTTTCTGAGCTTCCGGGGCAGAAAATGCCGATGAAGTTCACAGCATGATTAGGAGAAGCTCCATATGAACTGATATAATGGATATCTATAGGTATGACTATGAATGCAAACCTTGAATAATTGCTTACCCCCTAATGGGGTGGCTGTGCTTTAAGCGACTAGGGTATTTGGATAATTATTCATTATGAATTTAGCTTATTTTAAGGCATATCGACAGACTATCATACCGCTTTTCAATATCCATACAATTGTAAGCTCAACGTGATTGTGTGTTGTGCCTTGCCGATGTTGCCCGGCATGGAGCCTTGTTTCGCCGAGTATGCCGACCGGCTGCGCCGGGGGCGATACTAGATGCTTCAGACACTGGAAGCCTACTGGGTGATTGGCTTAGAAATTGCATGATGGGCGTATAATTTGTGAGCGTCCTACAGTAGAAATATACAATTTAACTTGGCTGGCCGACTCTTCGTTCTTCGGTTGATCTACCAAGTGCTATCGGTGTGAGCCACGAGTCGTGTTCCGCTCCGGCTCCGAGAGATATCAAGTAATATAGACCGATACTGCATACACGAGTAGGTGCCGAAAATCATGTTTTGGCGAACAGTCTAGTCTGTCAATATCACCTCTTTGATCAAGTCCCAATACTATCGACAACCAACATGACTTCCTTGCCCAGTCAACTTCCAATGGATCCAGAAGGACCAACAGGAAGATTATGCACTTGGGTGGAAAGCCTCAAGTATGAGGATATCCCAACAGATATTCAAACAAGAGCAAAATATCTCATTTTGGATGGTCTAGCGTGCGGCCTTATTGGCGCTCACTTGCCATCATCCGAGAAAGCCGCTGCCGCAATCCTGGATTTAGAAACAACAAGTGGTAGCGCAAGTGTTTTTGGCTGGGAGCGTAAGATCGGCCCGCTATCTGCTGTCCTACTTAACGGCACCTTTATACAAGGCTTCGAATTAGACGACTGGCACCGCGATGCCCCTATCCATTCTAACTCAGTATTGCTGCCTGCCTTACTAGCGGCGACTGAACACTACGGCCCTAGTGCGGGAGATAGCTCGGAATTACGTTACTCTGGCAAAGATCTACTGCTTGCTTATATTATAGGCTGTGAGATAGGCCCCCGCGTCGGATTAGGGCTCTGGGGGACGCACGTTCTCTCCAAAGGCTGGCATTCAGGCGCTATCTTTGGGCCATCAGCGGCCGCCGCTGCAGTAGCAAAGCTTTTCGGTCTTTCGGCAGCTGCTATAGAAGACGCCTTGGGGATAGCATGCACACAGGCTGGTGGTTTGATGTCTGCCCAATTTGAAAGCGAGGTTAAGCGAATGCAGCATGCCTTTGCCTCAAGGAATGGTCTTCTGGCGGCAGTGCTTGCCAAGGGTGGATATGTCGGGATTAAGAAGGTTTATGAGCGAGAATACGGTGGCTTCTTAGCTATGTTCAGCTCCGGCAATGGAATGGAACCGCAGTTTAAGCCTGATGAGGTGGCGAAGGATTTAGGGGTGAAGTGGGAGATCGAAGGAATCATGGTGAAACCGTATGCATCGATGGCTGGGACGCATTGCACGGTCGACTGTATGGCCGCGCTACGCAGATTGTATCCTGCACAGACACGAGATTTCTCTAACTTCGAGGGTATTCTTATTGAGATGAGCGAACCCGCATACCACCACGGCGGCTGGAAGGCTGTGCGACCGCTAACCTCGACGGGCGCACAGATGAGCAATGCGTATATCGGCGCTGTATACTTGGTAGACGAGCAAGTTACACCCGCACAATTCCGGAATGATAAGCTAGACCGAGACGAAGTCTGGAGGCTAGTCAATATCACTACCTGCGAGCATAACCCTGAATACTCTAAGTCCTCACAGGAAAAAGCCAAGACGAAGGTCACCATCACATTCAGGGACGGATCGGCACCATTAAGTTATGAACAAGGTGCCCCGCGAGGTGTCCAGCCGCCACTAAGCAATGAGGAGGTGCTAGATAAATGGCGTACCGTGACTAAAGATATCATTGACGAGGAAAGAAGATCTAGAATTGAACAGGTTGTACTCGCGCTGGATGAATGTGATGATATCGCCGCCATTAGTCGGCTCATGATAGGCCTTACAGCTAACCCTCTAGCGTAGGGGCTGTATACATAATGCTGACGATAACTATACAGGGCCATAATTTTTACAATTCAGCTTATCCGTAGTAATATGAATAAGGAATTATAGATTCATCTTTATTGGCACCGCTCTCGTTATTCTAGTTTGGTTCTAAAAACTCGAAATTGACAGCCCAGTCAAAGTCGGGGAAGGGCTCATCCAATGGCATGATGTCTATGTTACCGGGGATAGGAAAGTCTATAGCTTGTGTTGTCATGGACGCTTCGGGTTGGGTCGCATTCGAATGCGCTGCGGTATCTAATTGCACTACTATCAGTCAGTATGAAATGATCCATACGTGCCCGTATTACTATAACTCAATACGTACCAGACGAAATTTGGTTCTGTTCCGGATAAGGGCTTGTCTGCCCATTAAACTCAACCCGCCACCACCAGAAACTATCAAAGACAATGCTCATGGATAGCCTACTCCGTATACGAGTACTTAGGCTATCGATGCGTCCATCTGGTCGGCGGTACATGTTCTTGCTCGTCCACATCTGTCCGAGGATAGTGACGCCTCGTGCACCGAGATCATCGCTTTGAAAGGATGCTCTCTGGCAAAGATAGATGGCCGAAAAGTAAGCTTTTTCGCCCGATGCAGAGTTAACGTGACACACCAGTTCGCTCTTCTGGATTTTAAGAATAGATATGGCAGCGAGGAGTGTCGTCTTGTAGATAAACTCTGGACACGCCCTGGAAAACTCAGTGGACTCATCCTGAGAAGTCAAAGACTCGAATAGTTTGCAGGATATAATATAAAGATTAATTAAACCATCATGATTTGGACTAGGGCAATCTAGGAAGTGATATGATAGGAGATGAATGCGATAGCAGTAAAGGTATATCGTATCTAGTGATATTAGTGTGGGTTAGTAACGAGGTGAATTAATTTGATTTATACCTACATATGTTAGACCTGATATCCGCTGCTATTTGTTGAAATTGTGCGTCATAAAGGCTAATAAAGGGGTTCAGTTTGGACTGGGAGTTAGATCCAACTGGAGGGATTAGCCTCACTAAAGAGCTGGTCGCCGCCATCAAGATGTTGTGCATCTTTTGGTGAATCCTGAGATCATCTAGAAACTGCGCAGGGAGATCTGCATTTGAGAGCCTCATTTGGGGAGAGTCTAAAGGAATCAACGGTAAGATTCCCTGACGCAAGCTCGTGCTATCATATATAAGTATATTAACCCCTTTAATGAGTGTTGTGTGTTTTCCTCACCTATGATATGTGATGAGACATTGGATCCACAGCTGGGCTCTAAAAACTCTGGAAGAATGGTCGGCATTCGAAGGTAAGACGGTACGAGCAAAGTCTTGACCAGTACCTACAATGTGAAGACCAATCTGCATAGCGAGATGTAGGGCAGCGCCGCTTAGCAATTGGGTCATGTCTTTGTACATCGAAGTTGTCGGCACGGGCCAGTGGCATAAGAGAATGATGCCTTGGAGAGTCTCTATGGGGCTATCGCTTTCCTGCAACGCGAGAAGGGCCATTTTGTTTATGCGTGGTGCTAGAAAATCCATGATAGCTGGGTCATTAGTATATCGTCTGCTGCCAATGAAAACGACGGTCCAGAATAGGAACTCAGATTTGCTGTAACAACTATCCGGGTGGCTACCTTGCGGATCTAACAATGGTAGGATAGGGTTATAGTTTTGGAAAAATCTACCCGCATGATTAGAACTACAGCAAGAAGGATTAATGGTAGTCGTCAATTTCCATACAGCTTGAAGCAATCGCTAATCTCATCGTTACCCAATTCCCATCGGTCTAGGATTCGTGGTAAACATATGGTTGATGGCTGATTAAATAAACCTGGCGAGTATCCTGTAAAGACTGGCGCCTCGCCGTTTGCCTGATCCTGACTTGGTATATGCGCGGCTGTCGAGTTACAATCCTCCACTGATTGAGAGGTAGGCTGGTTAACAAGACCTTTCAGTGCTTCTAGCTCATGTTGCAATTGCGCCTTGGTCCGCCGGAAACGTGCATCCGAAGTGAGAACACAGGGAAGTCCCAGGCGTCGACACCTGGAACATATTTCAGGTGGCTCTGCGGAGCATTTTATCTGGTTGTCAAAGTTAACGTTGGCTACTTAAGTCCTAAGCGGTTGGATCGAGCACGACCTTATGGGTTCGGCATTCTTTGCATGCTTTCTTTCGACGTTGAGACTGCATGATGCCATCTATCTTACGCCAACTTGGACTCCCTAAATCTCATGTTCTGGTGATTTATTGATGCATATTACTCATGGCCCGAGCTTCCTAAATTAGCAAGGGGATAGGGAGTTTTCAGGTTTGGTGTTCAGTAAACGAGTGCTAAATATACCAGTTATAGAGAAGCTGGTATACGATATATGGTGATGTGTTTTATTTTATACATCTCAAGTATTTCTCGTGGTTATCCTAACAGAAATACAATACGCGTAGCAGCACTGGACGACAGTAATCGAGTTACCCCACACTCTAAATTCAGGGGTCTTATTTCGGGTTTCCCGTCTCGGCTCCGACTGATTTTGTAGCCAAGTTCATCAGAACATAGATCTACCATTGTAACCCACCGCTTATATCCTCGTGCCTTTGACTAGATCTCACGGTACCAGTAACACCTGAGCATAGTGCTTCGAATAGTTGCTTACCAAACTTCTGGAAAGCTGGCGTAATCCCGCCCAAATTCATGAGCTGTTTCTCCATGGGGCTCAGCTGAAATGGGAATTCTCTCCCGTCAACATAGAGCGTATTGGTGTCTAGGTCGACACCTAGCTCGACACCGTCTTGCGCAAGACTGTAGAAGTTATCGTCGCTGATGGTGATACCGAGAAGGCCCAGACTGGGTTGGTTACGGCTATAGATAAACGCGAAGGACCGTGCTATCACACATTTCACCCCACATCCTAGAATTTTACTTAGCAAAGTCCAAACTCATTCTTAAAGGGTGCGAAAGGATAGGGTTCTAGATACCTAGCAATGCCGAGACTGCTTGCTGACGCGACGAGCCACAGCCGAATGCCTTACCAGCGACTACGATATCGTAACCCTCTTTGACCCTTTGACGGAAATCTGGATGAGTAAACTCAAGACAATGCGCGCCAAGCGCTTCATCGGTTTTAGATTCCACCAAGAACTGCGCCGGAGCCAGCTATAATTCGCGTCAGTAAGATACAACGCGTTCGAGCACTGAGAATCAAGGACACATTAGAAAAGATATATATACGCACAGCATCTGTATCGATAAAGTCGCCCAGTTTCTGAATTTTGCCCTTTATTTTATTTCCTTGCAATTCTCCCGCGGTCTCTATCATATTGTTGCTCATTTGGACGTCATCGTTAAAGACTATGCCGTTTGGTTGCAAACTACCCGAACGATCGATAGAAGCTGGCTCAACATAAGCCGGCGGCGTCATTGATATTGTCTGTAATGAACCTCGTCCTTTAAGCGCATCGAATCTTGCTGGGTCTATAGCATCTAATAGAGCCTGAGGGTTCGTGATGGCCATTTCGAATGATGATGCGGCTACTGTCGCAGCAGATGCCAGGTTTCCGATGGAATCTATCTTCGTTATTAAAACGTTCACAATAATAGGACGAGAGTAAATACTCACCTTTACCCATCCTATTTTCGAAATTGCGATTTTGAGAGGATAGCCATACTTCCCCAGGACCTGCTTGATCTGCAGACATACCGACGCAATAACTACATCCGGGAACACCCATTTCGAAGCCCGCCTTTCTGTAAATATCCGCCAGGCCACTCTTTTCAAGTCTGTCTATAATCGGCCTCGAACCTGGAACAACCTTTCTCTTGCCATTTGGTACAGGTACTTTACCTGCCTTCAGACCCTGTTCCAAGATTAATGCTCCCATGATGATATCTTCCTCGGCCGTCGTGCACGCTCCAATAAAGCAGCCATCAAGCTTCTGGCCTTGCACTTCCGACACGGGGACAACATCATCGGGACGGGGATACTTCGCGACGAAAGATTGCACTTTCGACAAGTCAATAGTAGCTGTCTCGGCATAGCTAGCACCATTATCGGGTCGCATGAAGTGGGATGAATTTCTGTGTCGCGTGATCTTCCTCGACTCAATAAACAACTTGGTTACATCATCGGGTACGAAGATGCCGCTGATACCCCCAAACTCCTACATATGGTTAGCGAATACGTAAGGTGAAGCTGAATTAGGTCTTTCTCCTTACGGTGGTCATGTTCGCAATAGCAAATCGAGCATCTGGTGATAAGTGGCTTAGGCCTGGTCCAGTGTACTCTACTACTCTGTCAGCAGCCACGGTGTTCCTCTTAAGCTGCTGCAAAACATAGAGTATCACGTCCTTTCCACTGATACCCCTTGGCGGTTGTCCTACAAACCGGATTTGAAAAACTTCTGGTACTTTAAACCAAATTTCACCGGTAACAAGAGCCATTGTTACATCTGCAGCACCCAGCCCGACGGCTAGGCTCCCTACTGCACCGGCAGAGCAAGTGTGGGAGTCGGACCCTACGACGAGCATTCCAGGCTGTGCACGCTCCCTAAAAAATTCCGTGTGCATGATTGTATACTAGTAACATGTTAGCAGAGTTCATCGTAGGACCTATCCTACCTTGAATCGAGTGCCTACATTCATTCCTTGGTAGTCTGTCATCTTGAAGACCCTCCTGGCCCTTTCAGATGCTTCAATGAGGGGCTTAATTCTGGGGTGAGCATTGACCCTAGGGTCAACGACGTGGTCACCGGCAAGCCAAAACCGATCATTCCGGAATATACCCGGAGATCCCAACTGATTGTAAGTCGCTTCCATACTCTAGTACCTTGTCATTAGGTTCTATGATCTAAAGAGGAATCTCGCTTGAGTCAACTTACGCCCCATGATGCTTCCGATGCCATGATCCAATCAACTGCAACACGGATAGTATCTCCTACCCTTACATACCCCTTCGAGTCCACGTCGTGCATAGTAAAGATCTTTTCGGTTAGGTTCATCGGCGGTCGATCAGCCGGTCTGAAACTCATAACTCTGCTACCGACTCCTTTCTCTCGATCGGCAGAGTTTAGTGCCTCAAGCCCTACTATCATTCAGCCCAATTATAAGCAAAGTGCTTGAGATTATATTTCACTTACAAGCTGTGATCAATAGCAACACTTCAGACGCTACATCTCCAGCTATTGGCGTGCTAGGAGTAAGACCTAAACCGCCATAGTTCGGCGACGTCAGACAAATGCTTGCTACGTGCTGTAAGATTTCGCCTTCTCGCTGGTATCCAGCACTCCGCACTTTAAGTGCCAAAGTCTCCAAGTCTCGTATGAACTCTATTGAAGCTACACGATATGTCTTAGTAGCTGATATTCCGTCCGAGGAAATGAATGCATAGCCCTGATGGGACGTACCTCGAGACCCATCGTCTCTTACGTGGACATTTCGTGACGTGCGGAGCAAGTCGCTAATCTGGCTAGAAACTGCCATGCTAAAGAGCATTTGATCTAGGATAGGCATTAATCTGTCACGTATAGTCGGTAAGACCAGAAGTTAAATGTAATTGTCTTCCTCGATGTAAACTTCGGGTCTGCTAGATATAGGATGTTCAAGATAGTAGGAGCACAGCGCCACCTGTCTACCACGCCAGATCATGCTAACATTATCTCCATAAATAGGAAGCCGTTTCGGCTACGAGCTGGTCAGGTTTGAACTAATAGTCCAACCCACGAAGATGGGCTTACTGGCCGATTGGTTGCGAATATAAGCGAGTCGGTATGATCTATGCCATAGAATACTGGATAATCCTATCAGAGTATTCATAGTTAAGCGGGTTAACCAAACAACATCTAAGATCGGCTTTACATTTAATATGGCCGCTTAGTGTGCTTGGTCATGACGTTCGGGCATCATGTAAGTAGGCGGCGATATCACCGAACCCATCTCGGTAAAAGTCGGCAAGACGTCGGCCAACTCGGCGAACTGCGTAAACGTCCATCCATGCGTATCGTAAATGGATATAGGCCACGTAGATCCGCACATCTTAGGGGCAACATCAGCTAACTTACTCTTGGCTTTTGTTCAGACCGGAGCCAGAGCGGCTTGGGCTTAGATGATAAAGGGGCCGGAGGTTTCCACAGGAGTAAAACGTAAAATATGCTAACATAAGCTACGATCATAATGGCCAATACCTCACAAACTCCCGTATCAAGGCTACGTGCTGCTCTTTCAACACCTGGGAATATTGTCGTCAGTCCGGGGGTATATGATGGCCTTACCGCAAGAATAGCCTTAGGGGCTGGTTTTGACTGCCTGTATATGGTAAGACTAGTCAAAGCATTTGAGATGAGTTTTCACGACACTAATAACGTGAATAGACAGGAGCGGGGACGACAATGTCTCGGCTTGGAATGCCAGATTTGGGAATAGCTACTTTGAACGATATGAGGGATAATGCAGCCATGATAGCTTCATTAGATCCATCCGTTCCGCTAGTAGCGGATGCCGACACAGGTTTTGGGGGTAATATTAGCCTTGAACTTCTACGAACTGCCAATAAAACTAACATACTAGATACATAGGTCCCCTAATGGTCGGAAGAACAGTTTCGCAGTACATGAGAGCCGGGGTAGCCGCCCTCCATATTGAGGATCAAGTGCAGTCGAAGCGATGTGGTCATCTGATGAACAAGGAACTTGTCTCGGAAACCGAGTTCATCTCTCGGATTCGAGCGGCGGTCCTAGCACGTGAGCAGGAGAAGGGGGACATTATCATCATCGCTAGAACGGATGCATTAGACTCGTTAGGGTATGACGCTGCCAGAGACCGGCTAAGAAAGGCCGTCGAAGCGGGGGCAGATTTAGTTTTCCTTGAGGGCATCAAGACGAAAGACCAAGGCAGACAAATCTGCGAGGACATGGCCCCTACGCCGTGTCTCTTCAACTGCGTCCCGGGCGGTGTTTCGCCCGTCTTGTCCGTGCAAGAAGCAAAATATTTAGGTTATCGAATGATAATACTTCCCGCCTTTGCCTTGGGACCTGTCTACGAGGCGGTAATGGAAGCAGCTAAAGTATTGAAGAATACTGGTATCTCCGTCGAATCAAAGGCAAAAACCAGTCCCAGAGATGTCTTTATCGCGTGTGGGTTGAAAGATTGTATCGCGTTTGATGCTGCGGCGGGTGGTAAGTCGTTCTCAAAGGGGGTTTGAGAGTATCTTTAGAATAGGGCATAATGCAGCTAGTTTCAGCTGTCATTCAAGATATCGTTCAAATTAAGAATAACAACATTTAACAAAATAAGGATATTAATTCTTAATTCTCTGCATTTATGTCTACAATATGGTTATTATAAATTAAAACCGTTCGAATTACATGAGCATCCCAAGCACCTGGTAGATACAACTACCTTTTAACTCAATCCTCAAACAGTCTAAGCCCATCACCGTTTAAAAGCCTGAAAAGATGTGTTGTGACCCAGATAAACCACGCCTACTACGATCGATCTGTGGAGCAGGGCTTTCGAAGAAGCCCTTAGGCAGATTGCTGTATGGTTCCATCTCTACATCAGTATCCTTGTCCCTACTCTTCGACCACACGAAGAATTTTCGTTCATTTAGCACATACCACAGGGCGAAGATAAGTAGCGTTGTGGGTAACGTGAAGGCCCAATAGACCCAGAAGTTGTTCGTAATTACTTGAGGTTGGTCCCAGGCAAGCGTGGGGAGATCGAAGAGTGCAGCAAAGAATGTTGCAGGAAGAAATGCCATAGTCATGATGGCGATCACTTTCATGTCAGAGCTATCCTTCTTAGTAGCCTCCGCGAGCTTCTTACTGGCTTCTCCTAGTTGGTGGCTTGTTATAGCATCTTGTCGACGGATGAGGGTAGCTATCTAAGAAAACGATGAGTACGACGACCAAATGAGTAATATAAAACAAACGCGCCGGGGAATTAGATATCTCATACCACGTTAGACTGCGCCTTGGCTCTCTCATCGAAGACACGACCAGATTGTTTGATAGTTTTTATACGTAACTTCAGCAACCCAACAGCCGAGTTGAAAGATGTTACGCAATACTCAAAGTTCTTCAACGACTCTTCATCATCTCTACCATACCATTCTTTCCATGTTTTCTCGTCTTGTAGAGACTCTATGAGGGTGTGCGTGACTTCCACGCTCTTAAAAAGATTAGCAAATAAGCCAATTATCTTTGCAATATTCCTCGAGGCAGCCATAAGCTTTTCCAAGTTGAAGTCTTGCGTCTGTGTATTCTCCTTCACCCATAATCCATGTCCTGTGTCCTCCTCGATGTAACCGATCGTATACCCCTCATCAACAATAAGCTTGTCGAAATAGAATACGAAATCCGTGAGGCATAGACAGGCAAGAGAGAGGGGATGGTATAAATGCGCGGCCCGAAGCCCTGGCAAGTGGAAATCCCCATCTTTATTTTTCAGACTAGACCGCTTCTTATAATCACTCCGCGCGGCGAGCATAGCACGCGTTTCCAGCGTGGTAGGATCGAAGGTCCACGCAAGCATGTATAGGTAGTCCTTGATCATGAAGTTGTATCGTCCGTCGCTAGCCACGCAGTACCAGCCGGACCTCGAAGAAATCAGGTAGGCTAATAATGCACTATCTAGTCGTAGATAGTCAAAGACTTCAACACGCCGGACTTCATCACGGGCGATCGCTCTCCACATCGCCTCAGGGAAGAATATTATATTGAGGCTAGGGCTTGATGGGCCCGGTTGGGGGAACAACTGATCATTATGAATTTTATCGAATAGAGTCGCTTCATTAATCCTCTCCAGGGGGTCGAACTCTAGATTTGCATCAGGCTCCGCTTGGGATGGTGAATGGGCTCGTAAGACGCTGATACAAGACGGCGAGATGTCCTTTATACTGCTGTCTATAGATATGCGTGAAATCTCTCGTAGAATTTCCATTGTTCTAAATATAATATTTATATCACTGGTAACTCTTTGGATACCTAGATGCCCCCCGACAAAATAATGGGGAAATGTCAAGTAATTCTAGCTACCTTAATCTATACTAAAACACTTATGATGAAATTCCCAAGAGAAATAAACTGTAGAAAGGTAACTTAAGGAACAATTCGTGCAGAGCCTCATAGAAAAAATTGAAAGAATTCTATTGATACAGCGCATCGATGCCGCATTGAAACCCATCCTGCAGCTGGGGGCCATTTCGAAGGGCAGTACAGGGCACACTACAGATACCGCCTCGGTAAGATAGAGGGTATAGTCCAATCAAATTGAGGGGCGTAGAAATAATCCCTGACGATTCGTGCAAAGAAATGGGGCAGTGCATACTGCCGACTTTATTGCTTTTGCCTTGGTGTAATGTGATATATGACCAATATTTCTTATGGGTCGCCTGTAGCTGAATATTCATGCCGGATGATCAAGAAGCTGAACTTTCTGCTGCAGCCTTTTCTGCCTTGACGAACAACGCCACAATTGTCCCCTCATTTACCATGAATTTAGGATACCCGATAACCGCCAGAAGCGCTGTAATGGTATAGGAATGAGTTGTTAGCGAGATTATAGGAGAAGTATCATGTGCGAAAATGTCGTCGAGGAGTTGCTGTATCCTTTTTACATGCTGCTCGAGCGACTCCGATGCATCAGCTTTCCAACTTGTGTCTAACTCTGAAAAGCCTTCTTCAATGATGTAATTGGGGTAATTTTGCTTTATCCACGATCGTGAACTCCGTCTGTCGCATGTATGGTCTGTGATACGCTCTCTGAGATTTTCCTTTATCACAGGTTTAAAAGGCTTCCCATAAATGTCCATGACGGGTGCATAGACAAGCTTCGTTGTGTCAAGACATCGCGCAAGGGGGCTAGTATAAACAGTTCCAGGTAAAGGCAGAGCATCTTTTCGAGCTTCGTCTAACCACAACTTGGAAAGATTCTTTGCTTCTGCGATTCCTTCATCCACAAGTTGGGCATCAGCCCATGTTACCTTGTCGTCCCCATCCTTGTGAGACCAATGATTCTAATATAATTAGCCCATTTTCATAAGTGAATAGAGAATATAGGTGATAATAAGAGATATATTGCCTTACTTTCCAGTTTAATGGGATTCCATCTACTAGTTCGATCTGCCCAATCTCTTCAGATATCTTGAGTTCATCCATTTTCACATTGTGAATTCCTCGCCCATGTCTTATTACATACATCAGTTTGTACGATATACCGTCATCTATATGCTGCTGGTTAAGACGTTGGATATACTTTTCAAACCGAGCCCACTGAGGAGCCCCTTTATCGAAATGCAAGTCAGTACCCAAACCATCATAATCTCGTGATAATATTCCCAGAGCAGGTTGGGTTGAGATTTTGCCATCGGGTAATGTGTTTGCAATCTTAGCGTAATCCTCGAAGAAGTCGGGGACAAACGAGAACTTATAAGTTCTACCGATTATTGAGCTACCCATACTATTTTTTTCTTGTGATGCTGACTTGGACATATGGTTTTGTTCGCGTGAAGCCTCATCATTCGGAATCCCTTTTCTTAAGGCCTTTTCCCCGTGCGGATGTGTAAATCTCCGGATGAGGCGTTTCATTTAGCGATGATATAATGGATTGAAAGTGAAATGATATATGAACTAGACTTAAGCACAACAGATAGTTGTACTAGGAGAGATATTATTATCTACTTTACCTAGAGTAGATACGCTCATCAAAGGGATCCCATTGCGGGGCACTTCACAAGGTGGCTGAGCCCAATGTGGTATAACTGTAGTACAGTTTTCGCTGTTTTATCCAATGAAAATGCATCATTCAATCTATAGAATGACTTATTGTGGCGGTGCATAAGGCCACCATTCATAGAATAGAAGATTTTCTTAGCAGTGACTTGACAAAGCTCTACGTAGCCTATATATTATGTATCAAGAGATCCAGATCAAGGGATATTATTGGCTTTAGTTTTCGAGAATCAGGAGTAAAAGTAGAAAAATGAGTTTGCTTATTTTCTATGTAAGCGATCTTCTAAATAATTCTGGCGTTCTTATCCCTGTCAACAGAGGATCCTACTTCCTGAGGATGGAAGAATTTTCATGACATTGATAAACTTCATACTCTTTCGCCATTCAGCATTTATCACATCCTATACAAAGTCCCTCGATGGTTAGTTTATTTACCTAGCATCTATATATGAATTAAGACTACCTAATCTACTAAATATACTCTCAATGTACGCTAGATTTCTCAGTTTTCTTCTTGGGTTTGTTCTTATAGTCTTCCGTCTTTAGGAAATAGATCGTGACTTAGATTCTTGATTGTTTGCTGGTTCCGTATATGGATTAACCCTAGATTCAGCTCCGAAGTTAATCTTACCAAAATTTCTAAACTTTGGCTCTTAGAGCGTTCTAGGCCCTACTGGCCAGTTCTTTGGCAAACCTTTGAGAGTTGCCTAACGACATCTTACGTTTGGCATTGTGTATCAAGGCATATAGTATACATTCAAGTATAGGGCCTGGACGTTAGTCTACTGTATTTTGTCCTTCTAGTTTGAAGATTGCCTTGCCCCTTTTCACACACTAAGAGGCACTTTTCAGGAATCTTCGACTAGACTGCAACGTGATGAAAAACTCGCCCATGTGTACATTTAACCATACATGTAATGGCGAGGCCCTAGTAGGAAAGGCCTTACATCAATTTCTTTCGTGCCCTATGTTATTGTTAAGTGCCTAACGGTCTTGCATAGCTCCATATCAAATTACGCCGTGAATATCCGAAATACGATGCTCATCATTTAGGAGATCTGTGGAAGATTCTTCGATGAGCAGAGAACCTTGCACGCCACGTCCTTTTTCGCGGAGCCGCCGAAGCAATTTACGTCTTCCACACAACGCCTGGCTTCCTATCTTCCATTCTGCATTTGTTTGAGAAAAATTACCTATATCATCTACTATAAGGGCTGCAGTCAGAGTTTGCGCCAATACAAACCATCTAATTGGCTCTCATGTCATTTAAGGCTCACTTGGACCAATACCGGCAAGAGTAGGAGCCAATAACAGATCGCGTCTATATTATAGTTGGCCCGAATATGTTCCTTCATTATGTGTGAAGACTTATTCGGTACTTACCTCTTTCCCCAGGCTGTACAGTGACGTAGGATGATATGGCCTTTGTATCTTCTTTTACGACGGCCAATAGCTTAGACTACTTGCCTATTATCCCGCAATATTGGTCCGACCTTGTTGATTTGGAATAGGAAGTATTTTGGTGATAGGTTAGAGATACATAAGCCATCGGTAATCCTATTACCGGTAAAAAGGGGCCCCTAGACTATTTTCTTTGCCCGAAATCCTGGAGATGTCTCAGTCCTTTTACCCGGTGCCGGCCTATCAGAAATTTGTTGTATATTAGCCCGAGAATATTAGCCTCTAAGCTCGTACAGCGTACAGGGACAATAGCATACCGTGACTTTTCTGGAAACTCGATAAGTTGGGTGCCACCCATGTTAATATTAATAGGATATCGATGCTTCGGCAGTTAATAAGCAAATACCTAGTTCCAGCCATGTGTCTAAATCTATATATATCCAACCATGCCCAACTAAGGGCACTATCTAGCTCACTCTGATCATCAGCCAACACAATCCGTAGTATCAAAGTTCTCTCACAATGTTCTGGACTACTCTCCTCGGCTTCGCCGCCTTCGCCGAAGCGGCCCCCCAGTTTGGCGGTGGTTTCGGTGGCACTACCATGCTGCGATTCGGATGCCCGAACGTCGTTATTGACAGGTTGGACCCTCTTGTCAACCCTGGTTCAATCCCTTCCTCTCACGTACACCAAATTGTGGGAGGAAACGGCTTCAATGCCTCGATGACAACTGGCGACGTCTCCGCGACTGCTGACTGCACCACCTGCCAGTTCAGTAAGTTTCTGGAAATATATATACCTATACAACACTTACTGACGCTCATATAGGCGAGGACTTCAGTAACTACTGGACCGCCAACCTCTACTTCAAGGCTCGCAATGGCACGTACAAGCGAGTCCCCCAACTTGGCCATGCGTACGTATCCCTATGAGCTCATTGATTTCTTGTTTGCCAGTAGCTAATGCTCCGTTAGTCTGCAATTCAACGACCAGTTCAGCACACAGACACAAGGTGGTATTCTTGTGTACTACGTCTCGGCTCAGCCCGGTCAGATCACCGCCTTCAAGCCAGTTAGTATCACCTAATCACGAGCAACATACAGAAATTGTATTAATCTATTTCAATAGGGCTTCCGTATGCTCTCCGGTGACGCTATGGCGCGCTCCAGGCCCGACACCAAGTTAAAGAGGCAAAACTGCTTCCGTTGCTACACAGGCCCTAACTACGGAGGTGACACTGGTGCTCCCTGCATGGATGACAAGTTAGTATTACTATTTTCGGGTTTTAGCAATTGTTGTAGCTTATCATAATTACAGTGTCGACTCCGAGGCTCTCCCCAAGAAGGTGTGCGCAGGTGGTATCCGATCCAACATTCTTTTCCCCACGTAAGTTTCTTCACATTTCTTGTATTTAGGAAAATAATTAATGGTTTTCCTAGTTGCTGGGATGGCAAGAATCTGGACAGCCCTAACCACCAGGACCACGTTGCCTACCCCACGTCCGGCCCGGCCAACTTCCTGAGCTTGGGAGGATCCTGCCCGTCTACTCACCCTATCCGGATCCCGCAGCTCATGTACGGTAAGTTATACCCCTTTTATCCTTGTTTATGACTGCTTTAGTAACTTTCTTATTACCAGAGGTTGTCTGGGACACCACTAAGTTCAACGACAAGAACGAGTGGCCCACCGACGGATCTCAGCCTTTCTACCTCAGCACAGGCGACAACACCGGATACGGCCAACACGGTGACTATGTTTTCGGATGGAAGGGCGATGCCCTCCAGAAGGCTATGGACACCTCTGGCTGCATGGGTGCCCGCTGCGCAACCCTCAAGACCCAGGCCATCGACGCGGCAAGGCAGTGCAGCGTGAAGAAGGTCGTGTCTGAGGACGAAGACGGATGTAAGTTCTGGCACCATCAATATTTATATTTCATTCCTCTAAAAAGAAAATAGGGCTCACCGAGCTACCCGGAATCAACATGCCCATGGCATAAAGCGCCATCGATCCCGTACTCAACTCAGCATGGCATGTTAGAAGCGTCAAGAGCGATAAATTGGCTACGAAGCTTGGAACAGAATAGAGCGATAATAATATAGATTGTCTAACCAATTGTATCGCATTCTTTGGATTAAATATGATACCTGAATCAAGCATCTGATGTATACTGAGCTAACTAGAATTGGCTTGTGAAATTCATATACGTGATACTTGACATGTTGAATATTCATACCTGTTGATCTAGAATAATGGGGAATTGTGTTATGATTTTAGGCTTATATATGAAGTTATAGATTTTACCTTCGGCGTGCTGTATTTCTGTTACTAGCCTCGCTCTCTCTTAGCTATATCATAGACAAACACTCATAGGCTGTGGTGCAGCTTCCCTTCCTTCAATTGGATTCAAAGGTCCGCCTATGTTGCTGGCAATGCCCTTCCACGTACGGGGCCATGTTACGCCGAGAGTTGCGTTTCGATAAAGTAACCGTGTCGCCTATGATAACAAATACGGATACGCCCACAGCTTTTGTCTTCTCGACGTTGGGTATCTCAATGTCGTCGAAACGACGCTTATATATAGTAGTACATCTGCTCGCCTGTAGCATAGATGTTCTTCTGCACCTTGGGTATCAATAAAATATCGTCCACTGTTCCTCGGCGCTAGAGGAAGTAGGAAGGTTAAGTTCTGGTGCAAGATCGGAGATGATTTGTGTATAAAAGTATTGCTTCGTTTATCGACTACTTTTGCTTGACCATCCAGAGGATCCAGCCACCGACACCAAAAATACAAGTAAATGCTAGATTAAAACATGTTAATTTAAGATACGGCATAACGGACCAAGTAGACACTTACCCACGAGAAAGGTTTCAACCGCTCTATGATCAACCTCCCTCTTCATGATGATGCTCATATTGCTCATTTCCCGGGTGATGAGCTGGGGCAGCTCTCGGGTAATAAGTGTAGTGTCAATAGCGGGCATGGTGAAAGGTGACAAAAGTAACTTGATTAAGAATTATAAATTGTTAGAGTTGACAAATGGTTGAGATTTATAGACAAGTATGAGAATGGAAAATGCGAAGTGAAGCGCTGCTTGACTCTTTCAATTAGTACATCTGATCGACACAACCGGGTTATTGTCAATTTAAGTAACCAGAAAAACTGAGATTAGAAACCCCTGGATCCTGGCGCCGACGAAGTCATCGCGGCTCGGCTCATAATCAGTCGATTTTAGAGGCTTTCCCATTCTAGGTCATAGCATCAGGTGGATTCGAAACAATACCCAAGATACCCCTAAACACACAAGGCGTAGTTAGTGATAGCTTAGCCCGTTGGCTTACGCATGGCAGATTTCGTCTATTACATTCAAGATCCTGTCAAGCATATTAGGTAGGTTAGGTAGGTAGGTCTTTTTCTCCTGGTAGGATTCTATTATCCTTGTATTTGACTTTTATCATTGCTTCTTTCATCCTCGTGTAGATCTATTGTCGTCAACAGGAGTGTGGGTTTAGTGGATCTACCAAAAATCGATCGTGCCATATGGCGCGAGGAGAAATATGACTGAAACAGATTTGCGACAGGGTTTAAGGAATACACTAGAACTAAATACCACAAGAAGAGCCAATAGCTTTATAGCATTTCCACGATGCGTTTACCATTCACTGTTTAAATGCGACGTAAATAGCAAGATGAGTAGATTTGGGCTTGAGCCTCAATATATGGTCCTTATTTAACATGGGGATGGCATTGCTGAATCCCCCTTATTCCTGGCACTTGTTACTATACTAAAGACTGTAGGTACAATAATTTACAGACCAAAAGGCCAAGTCTCTCCTTTACATCTTTACCCCACCACCCTTCACGAAGATCAATAACAAAGTTCTTCACTTCTACGCGAACCTGAGTGATTCGCATGTCTTGGTCCCAGCACTTGGCTGATCTTTGCACAAATGCAAGATATCGAATTCCTTATGCGACTACGCTTTATACGATACGCACGCGTCTCTCTGACTATTGTATCCATATGATGGCTTTTGCAGATACTCCATGGTTTAGATCAATTTCTCCTCTAAATCTAAACCTTTAAGAAGCCTATGCATTGTGCGCCCGTATAAAAACCCGGTCTATTCTACATCGCCGCCAAGTACTTTATCAACTAGCTTTTGAGCGGTTTTACTTCATGTGTACTATCAGCCTTGATATATACTACCTAGGTGGCTTGGCAATGGGTATGTCTATTTTCGAAGAGCCCGAGGTAGAACTACCTAGTGATATGATAAACTTGTTCTCCTTGTTGTTTCCTCATTAAAAAAATCATGGGGAGTGTGTACACTAACGAAAACCTATCGTCTACGACGAGACCCATATATCCCTCGGAACGAGGAGACCAGGGACTTCATCTCGTATTCCGGCAATCGCAAGCTTAGAGACAGGTAGGTACTAGTGTAGCTCTACAGCGCTCTCCACTAATACATAGCACTTCCATGTAGCGATCATGTATCTCCGCACGCCCCTAATTCCCCGCAGTCGTTGGTAAAATCCCAGTTATCGATAGGCTTTATTTCGTTATAGATAACATGATTCACAAATCAAAGGCCCACACAAATTAAAGGCCCATAATTTTACACCTATCTAATTAAATTATTTATTATATAATAATAATGTTTAAAATTAATTAAAAATTAATTTAATTCTTATAATTAAAAATTTCTAATTTAGTTTAATAAATTTACATATTGTAATTTATATTATTATAAATATTATAACGTTATTAATTTTATTATTATTTTTTTATAAAATTACTTTTAATAATTATAATATTGCCTTTAATGTTAACATTATTCTTTTAAATTAATAACGCATCTCTTTTTTTTTAAATAAAAGATTTTTTTTTTTATAATTATTTATTTTTTATTTATTAATATTTAAAAAATATATAATTTATTTTTCGAAAATTTAAAGTTTTTTTTTTTAATATAACTATTTTATATAATAATTTATATATAATTTTATTTAATTTATTAATAGTTTTTAAAATCTTAATTAATAAATTAAATTAATGGGTAAAAATTTTATTATATATAAAAATAAATTATAATATAATTTTATTAATATTTTTTAATATTTTAAATATTTAAAATAAGTTAAATAACCCGAAATCTAAAATAAAAAAACGTGTAATTTTAATAATATTAAATTATAAAATAACCTAATTAAAATTTAAAAAAATTAATTTAATAACTTTAAAACCGGCTTATATATTTTTTTTAATAAAAATAATATTGTAAATTTATTAAAAAATTAAAAAAAAATTTTTTTTTTTAATATAAATTAAATCTTATTATATTAAATTTTTAATAATTATTTTATATACGCGTTTTAAAATTAAAAAAACGTTTATATTTAAAAGTTAAAATTTATAAGATAAATAAATAAATATATAAAAAAATATAATATTATTATTATAGTAATATTTATAAAATTTTATTAATATATAATTTTTATAATTATTTAATATTAAAAAATATTTAACGTTTTTTATATATTTTTTTATATATTTATTAAAATATATTAATTATTTTAAATTAATTTTATTTATAATTTAACCGTTTTTAAATAATTTAATAATTTAATTAAATAAAAATTTATTATTATAATATTATAAAATAAAATATATTTTATTTATTATAATAATAAAAAATAATATAATTTAATTTTATAAATTAATTAATTAAATAGTTATAAATTATTTTTTATCTTTAAATATAATTTAATAAAATTTTTAATATTAATTTAAACTTATAATAATTATTTTTATAATAATTATATTTATTATAAACTTAATTTTATTAAAATTATATATATTTTTAAATAAAATACTTTTTTTTTTTATTATATTAGTAATTAATTTATATTATGCGTAATAAATGTTAAGATTTTTGCAAAAGATTTTTTAATAATTAATTTGATAATTTAAATATATTTTAAGTTTAAATTGTTGGCGTATAAAATTTATAGTTTAATTTTTTCCGATAAATTTCTTGTTACGTTTTTATAATAATATATTAGTTATTTTTTCAACGTAAAAAAGTTTAAGGGGAAAAATTTAAATATTTAATTTAAAAATATATTAAATAATAATATTTTTTTTATATTAAGTTAATTTTTATTATGGTTTTATTATATTTACGTATTGTTAATAATTATATATTTTACCGTATAACGTTTTATATAAAATATTATAAATATATATAATGTATTTTATATTAAAATTTTTATTACGTTTTATAACGTTAAAAACTAGGTTTATCCTAATCTTTTTAAATGGTTAAAATATTATAAATTAATTAAGTAATTAATTATTAAAATTGGAAAGTGGTAGTTTAGATATTTTTGGGCCTTTGATTTGTGTGGGCCTCTGACTTATGGATTACGTTACAGGGAATGTTTGAAGATAGATAATTCATCATTTTCTTTCTTTCCCAAAGAATGCCGACTACTAATGAAAGTAGAGATATTGCTGAAGATGAATCAATCCTTCGCTTCAGCAGAGGCCGGCTATCTCGCGGTCGAGGACTCCGCAAAACAACAGGATGGTAAGTGAAACTCGTGAATTGCTATTGCAGTTTTGACAAACAGGCATTGACCCGGATTCTAGTTCGACTTGCCGTAAAAGACATGTAAAGTGCGATGAAGTAAAACCAGTCTGCGGCGGTTGTAGCAAAACAAGAAAGACTTGTATTTATGAAAATGGGCAAAAGGTTCGGAAGGTCTCACATATTCCTAATATAATAGAAAATGGTCGCAATCATGTGCAGATTGAGGCTGGGGCTTCGAGCGAAGCAAGAAAAACTCTTGAGCAAGCCTGTGTCGAACGTCAAGCCATGGTGACAAGGTCGAGGGCTCATGAACGGAGTCAGGAGAATTTTCACCCTACACCAAGTTTTACTAACATATCTTCTCATATAAATGAAGAATCTCATTCTCCATTTAATCCCGATGTCAATCCAGTGGGACAAGATAATGTGCTAAACAGTACCTTTGTGGATTCTCTTCCACCAGCGGATAATAGGCTTAGTCCTCAGGGCGCTTCCACCATATCATCCAGCCATAATGTGGAGAACGCAACAGCAAGATGGGTAGATTTACTGTTCCAGGATGCTATTATCCAGAACGAAGATATTCGGAATATGAATTTCGAGTCGGAAGGATTTAATATATTTGGAAACTCAGTCGCGCAATCACCCATCGATCTACCGGAGTTGAATGGTTCATGCAATGAGGATGGCATCGTCTTATCTACACTATCATCAAACCCTTGTCTGCGCGAGAGGAATCTCATTCTCGAACAAGACCAAACACTCGAAAAGCAATCGTGGCAGTCGGAATCGCCCATAACAATACTTCCACACGAACACATAGCATTCCGAAATTTTGTGCAGCATATCAGTGGATGGGTATGTCACCAAGGGGGTATCATTAGCTATCTACATCTAGAAAAGCTTACATCTCGTAGATGGACCTATTCGACCAAAGTAGATCTTTCGCAGTCCACGTGCCCCATCTTGCAGTATGTATCACTCCATATGCATTAGAGCCTCCTGTCCATATTATTCCCTATAGCTGACGGTTTATCAAGGTGCATAATGTAGGATTGATGAATGCTATCCTCGCTCTATCAGTTCGGTATATGTCGTTGAGTGCTAATATGAATGGCATGCATGAACATGCGCAAAGCGATGCTCTCCAGTACTATTACAAAACACTCCATTATATTCAAAAGGCTATGCAATATGATACTTATAAGACGAGTTTAGAGCTTATTGCTACATCTCTTATCATATCGACATACGAGATGCTAGACGGCTCAAGTCAAGATTGGGAAAGACACCTTCATGGTGTCTTTTGGATTCAGCGATCCCAAGTGATCCACGGCGACTCGAAAGGTCTGCGGCAGGCAGTATGGTGGGCTTGGCTTTGCCAAGACGTGTTCGCTGCGTATCTTGAGAAGCGCAAGCCGTTCACGTTCTGGCGACCTGCAAGAAATTTGGACGAACTCGACCCTCTCGAACTCGCAGCGCGCTCGGTGTATTACTTTTCGCAAGTAGTCGGCTATTGTTCTTCCGAAGAAGCTGAAGCGGGGAGACTAAACCCCTTTTCAAGGATTGCGAAGAGAGACACGTTAAGGGAGAACCTTCAACAGTGGGAGAAGCATCTCACAATAGAATTCAAGGCACTACCCCTTCCCCAAATGGAAAAAGAGACGTTTGAGCCTTTATGGATTCACCCCCCAGCATTTGGTATGAATATACCCTTCTTCGTGATGCCATAGCTTATCATATCTTAGGGGTCGCTATACAATTATTCCACGCATCGAATATATTATTATCTTTGCATTGTCCTGTCCCGGGCGATTTCCAGATGTACGCGAGTCTCCGAAAAAGCATCAAGGAGAGCATACGGATAATCTGTGGGGTTGCAATGTCTCTAAACGACTTTGCCTCGAGTGTGCTATGTTCGCAATGCTTGTTTATAGGTTTGTTCTTTTACCATCACTACCTACTTAAGGTTATGGTAGCTAAATCTAGCAGCTGGTCTACCACTCGAGAATTCGGAACAACGGCGTGTTGTATTAGATCTTCTCGGTAGATGTCGGATGCAAGCGGGGTGGCCAGTAAGATCATTGAAAGATAGGTTGGTGAGCATCTGGGAGTCAATGGACTAGATTTACCTAAAATATTGTTAAACCTACGATATACAACTTTGTGTCCTATCGAGATCTGATTTTATAAACTAAAATAGGTGTCTTTAGCTTCGTCATTTTTAAATACGTCGAAATCCTCCTCTAATCATCTTCATAGAAAGAGGTAGGAATACTTTCTACCGCAAAGGCAACTTTTTAGTTGCGTGTCAAAATGCTACTATCAAATTTTCAACAATGCACCTCGTACGGAGGAATTGAGTTGTGCCTTCCAAAGGCGAAATTCATTGAGGATGAAGAGCTCGCCGCTTTGGCCAAAACAAAAATTTGCAACGCCGCCATCAACGAGGATTCTACCGAGCAAGACTCCTCCGGGTGACCAGACGTTGACTCCATCTCCGCACCCGCTATAAACATTACCATCCATATCACATTTAATCCCGTCAGGAATGCCCACATCTGCAAAGGCGAAGAGCCGTCGATTTGAGAGAAACGGCTGATCATTTCGGTAAATAACATCGAATGCATATCTATCTTGCTTATTAGTGATATATCTACAGCGCTGTAATACTCAACTCACATTGTGGAACATCTGCTAGGATTTATGGAACCATCACCGTGAACTTGATCTGTATCAGTGACATATAGGATCGCTTCATCGGGCGAAAAGCAAAGCCCATTCGGACGCCCAAAGTTATCGGCGACGGCCCGGACGGAGGATGTTTTCGGATCGTATCGATAGACTTGATTGGGCAGCGAGGGTGGCGGTCGGTATCCTTGCTCGAATCCATAGATGGGATCTGTGAACCAAATACAACCATCTTTACTTATGACAATATCGTTCACAGAGTTGAACGGCCGGCCGTAGAAGCTGGTTAAAACCGCCTCAGTCTTGTAGGGAGGCAGGGAGGACATCCTAAATAGCCCACTAGGTGCCGTCATTGATCCTTGCGCACAGAAGAGAATGCTATCTTGATCATTGACAGCACCATTCCCCATCTGGATATCGATGCAATCAACTTCCTCCCGCATTGGAGTCGCATTTTCGTCTCCTAAGGACACTTTTGAGATTTGAACCTTTTTCTTGCCATCATGGCCAATAAATTGGTTGCTCGTTATAAACAGCTCCTTGGTAGATGGCAAGAAGACCCCGGCCTCGTGAGCAAATGGATACGCTTCCACCGATAGCAGTAACTCGAGGCTTGGGTTTACTCCAATTATCTGACGGAAAGAATCATCGTGGATCTTCCATACCGAGGAGTTAACGTCTTCCATTCTAAGGGATTGATCAAGGCTTTATCATGACATTTGCTATGTCTAAAAAGTGATATCGTTAAAGGTCACATACTTGATTTGGACTATTCAATGAACCCTACAGGTAGGTATTCAATTTTTGAATTGACGGATTTCCTGGGGAAATTGGCGGGTTCACATAGTTACTCAACTGGCGGTAATTTATTACATACTGGCCAATCTTGATATCACGATCTATCGGGGTAATGAGGAGTAACGGAGCGCTAGTTTCGTCGATCACTCGTCTCGAGGGATCGTCAGGGACCCCTTGACTGCTCCCCCTTTTCCCGCGGGGTTTCCCCACATGCGGCTGATTACTTCTACGCATGGTTCGTCACATTCGGGTAGCGTAGGAGTTCAATAGTGCACTATTTTATTGCAAGCTTATGGAAATACCACCATCAACGAGAAGCTGGGCTCCCGAAACCCACTTGCTTAGATCGCTAGCTAGGAACACTGCCGGTCCACCCAAGTCCTCCGGGTCGCCCACGCGACCCAATGGTGTTCGGTCCTCCAAATACTTCAGCTTCCCGGGTTTTTCTAAGTCATCAAATGCAAGCGCTGTCCTCGTCGTCCCCGGGAGTAAAGCGTTACAACGAATTCCATACTTTCCTAGAGCACAAGCTTGGGACTGCATCATCGACAGAACGGCGGCCTTAGTGGGCGTATAGTGAACTTGCTGTGCACCGCCAAGGTGGGCGCTGATACTGCTAATGCCAATGATGCTGCCACCGCGACCCTGGCTTACCATTTGCCTGGCAGCGGCCTGAGTGGTCCAGAACGTACCAGCGATATTTGTCTGAATGTGCGACTGTAAAGTCTCCTCGTCCACGCTGGTAGGCGCCTGGGTTAGAAAAGCTGCCGGTGTGGGCTGGTTGGGGGAATGGAGGCAGAACACCTACTCCAAAAAATCGCGGAACTGGCTGACACCCGCATTGGCGACAAACACATCTAGGCCTCCGAATTCTTTTACTGCCTGTTTCACAAGCTCGGTTCCTGTGGCACGCTTCCTGATATCTCCCGGTATGCCGATAAGTCTCTTGCCGTCGTTGCCGAGTTTCTGTTTTAGCTGCTCGAAGCTCTTCTGTGATGAAGAGTCTTCCATAAAGTTGACCGCTACCGAAGCACCATGATCCAGGAATGCTAACGCGATACCCCTACCAATACCCGTGACGCCGCCTGTAATAGCTGCAATCTTGCCCGCAAGTAGAGCCATTTTCGGTAGACTGTCAATCTCAATACTCAAGGCAAAAGACAATGAAATGGTATAATAGTAAAAAGAGGTTGTGGAAACAGAATGAGGAAACAGCTTGAAAGAGGAGCACGACAAGATGACATCTTGTGATGCAGCCGTAAGAGGGCGAGCGAGTCGGAAGTGGAGACGGACTATGCTATACGAAGCTAAGAAGACAACGCTGCCGACACCGCGATTCCCTCGCTACGAGGGCCCTATAACTTATCCGGTGGAAAATTTTGTTCTAGGTAGTAAATGACGGGTGGAAATAGCTTCACGGAGATGAGAATGCCACAAAGAGTATGGTTTTAGAGTGAGTGCTACGGCGGCCTGGAACATTGTACCTCTGAATACTTCACCTGTGGAGATTTCAACCAGCGCGTGCGTAGTAGCCCCCTTTATTAGATGGTCCCGTTAATCAGACATTTTAATATCTTGCAGATGGATCTTTTCGACTATGTAAGACCTCCGCGACCCTTAACCCTATCTGGTAGTAGCTCTTCATGAATATATAACGAGTCCTTTGGTTCATTACTTTAGGTAGTGGCCTGGTAGGTATTAATAAGCTGCTACGAGAATTGTAAGCACGAGTTCAACCATAACGATCTATCACTCGCTTCCCGAAGGACCTTAAATCAATGCTTGAAAGCGATACATTATAATACTTAGAAGTAAATTTGTTAACTGGCAACTCAAAATACCTTCATCTCGACACATGAGATGTTATCTAAGTTAAATTATAACTACAAAGACGTATTTAGAGTATTTTCTCAATTTGATATCCCTAGGTGTGTATAGTAAGTTCAGGAGTTATAAACACCGAGACGTGTTCGCACTACCCTATGGCACAGCTCACGGGGCTTTACCAGAGGAGCCGCAGATGTCCATCCACTCTTTAGTTTGCCTGATCACGCAGTCCATCCCTTGCTCAATCAGCGTCGTATGTGGCAGTTTCCGTGAACTATCGGCCCGCAAGTGTGTATAGTAGTCATCTAGGACTAGCCGATTGACGTTGATTTTGGTAAGGCCAGCTTTAATGCATCGCTGCATAATATCTGTAGGGAAGCCGTTTGTGCCGTGAAGGACACAACGAACACGCCCATTGACCTGCTTAAAGATACTGTCGAACCTATTGTGCTATGATAGTTAGACTGCTAATTACACTACTCGTTAGAGGAAAGGGAGAGCGGCGCGGCTGACCTCTCGTAATCCAATTGCGGCCCTTGTGGACCATATTCGCCGTGCACATTTCCAAAGGCAGGAGCAAGAGCGTCGACGCCAGTAGCAATAAATTGCTCCACCTCTTCCGGAGTCGTCTTGCTCGCCTCTAGCCCCGCAGTGTCCATAACGCCGTCTTCACCTCCTTCGATACGGCCCGGCTCTGCCTCGGTAGCGATGCCCCTCTCATGGCAGTAGGCCACCCACTTAGCCGTCTTGGCCAGGTTCTCCTCTTTCTCATAATGTGACATATCAATCATGATGGAATCGAATGGCAGCGTGTCAGCTGCCAACTTAATCATGTCCTCGTCCTGTGCGTGGTCGAGGTGTACTGATACGGGCACTTTTGCGCGCTTGGCGGCTTCGGCGGCCGTCCGAATTAGCAAGCCATCTGAGAAGGCGATGGCCCAGGGAAAAAACTGGAGGATTAGCGGCGACCGTGCTTGCTCGGCTGCTCGCACGAGGCCGAGGATCTGCTCGAGGTTATAGGCAATGGCTGCGATAACGCCGTATCGGCCTTTTTCCGCCGCCCCCAGGATCTGGAGGTGACAATTCTTCTCACGCCAATCTACCGGGACGCCCATTTCCTCCACATGTAGTATATCCGAGTATAAAATAAACACCTTGAAAGAATAGGGGCTCTTCGATGACCTAAGTAGTGGTTAGGCTTTAAAGATGTGTTTTATTCATCTTCCACATGTGTCATTTTGATTATATGTTGTTCATTTTTAAATGCACCCAGTAGAACACGAGTTGAAGCCCCTCGCTTGGCTACTACGGATTATCGTCTCGGGGGATCCGTGCAACAGTAGCCCTCTTCGCCTAGGTAATCGCGTTATGGTGTATGGCACATGATATCGTGAGATGCCCGTGAATAGATCGGCGAGCTTTAGGTTGGCCTCTCCACATTCACCCCGCGGACAGGCTACTTGTGGTGTGGGTTATGTAGGTATTTTAAGTGCCTGGGCGGGGCCAAGCCACCGCAACGAGGGCAACAGATAGTTTAGAATCTTGGACAAAACTAACTAAGGTTGGACCCGAACTTGAGTCACCACCCATATGAGTTATTCTTCTATCCTACATACACGATCCTCAACCCCTATATCTAACCCTAATATTGGGCCGAATGATGTCAGATGATGCCTATTACGACCCACTCGATCTGCCTACTATAGGCCGGGGAACACATCAAATTATCACTGACAGATAATTGTAGGGTCCCCGAGTCTTAGTTAGAATGCGCAGGATCGAAGTCAAGGGCATTCTAAAGCATCGCTGGTCTCGTGATATTTAAGTTAAATAGATTTCATGAACAATAACCTTCTAGTTAAGACAAAACCCAACCTCACCGTGAAGTAGATGTGGCGTACGAGACTCGTAGATTGTTTTTAATATTGGACAGCATCAGAATCCAGAAATCATATTCAAATCTTACGATATCAAGAGTTTAGTGACTTAGTCAAATGAGACACAGAATTATATCTTTCTAATTTAGAATTGAAGATCCTTTATTAAGCCACTGTAGTACTTTGTGAGTTTACGACCGCCTAGCTATGTAAATTCACAAGAGGCCGGCGTAAATGAAGACAAATTACCTTTACCCAATAATGCTAACCCCTTTTTTATTTACGGAATAGTAAACCCACCATCTATGATCATGTTCGCCCCTGTCATATAAGGGCAGGCATCACTTGCCAGGAAGACGTAGGCCTACAGAAGTAAGATGTTAGCGCTTTTTAACTATAGTAGAGGATAGTTAACATACACTCTTCAGTTCCTTGGGATTGCACACCCGCCCGCCAGGGATCTGACTGATCCATTGGTCTAGGAGCTTCTTGGGTTGTCTCGTCAACACTAATGCGCACGTTAGCTCCTATTTTTATAGCCAGGGTACCGAAGTCCTGCTACCTACTCTCCGTATGAACGTATCCGGGAGAAACGCAATTGACCCGCGCAAAGTCAACCCACTCAACGGCAAGACTCCTGCCAAGCTGTAGAGCTGCAGCTTTGGAGGCATTGTACGCTGCCTGCATCTGCGGGGTGTTCACAAGTGTGGCGCTGACCGAGGCCGTGATGATCAAGTTGCCCTTCCCTTGCTTTCGGAAATATTTCTCTGCACCCTGAGCTGTCCACATAACTCCGTCGTAGTTTACACTATTGATATGTGCCCAGCTCTCTTCGCTGTAATCAAGCGAGCTGACGTTAGAGCAGACGCCGGCGTTTGCAATCACGACGTCCAAGCGGCCGCGGCCGAAATCAGCCACGATCTCGTCGATTGTCTTCAAGAGTAAATCTCGCTTAGTAACGTCCGACTTGAAAGCTTGGACGCGTACACCAGTCTTCTGTGCAATCTGAGCAGCTGTTGCATCAGCATCTTGGTGGGTTCTGTATATGAAAGCAACGTCGGCCCCAGCCTCAGCTAAGCCCCAGACAAGCTGGAGGCCAATACCCCTGGACCCTCCCGTCACGATGGCTATCTTTCCCTTAAGTGAAAATTGCTGGAGGACAGGGGTATCCAAATTGGCTGGTTGAAATAGAGGCATACTGGGTGGCTATTTTGCGTAGTCTAGGTTGATGAAAAGGGCGTTGCAGGTGAAAGTAGACTGACTGTCTTGACTCCCTCAGGTCTGTCGTTGCTGATCTGTGAATATAAAAAGAATGCCCTCTTGATAATTGATGGCACTGCTTCTATGTAGTACTGTTGTAGTCGATCTCCTTGTAGATTACAGTCCACTTCCTATGTGTCCGTAAGTGGTTTTCCTTCTTCTAAATATGCACCTTCTTTCTGCCATCTTATAGATCAAGCTGAATCGCTTCTACATGTAACTCGAGGGCAACGAGGCTAGCAGCCTAGTTCAATTTCTATTTCATTATACCCACCGGCCTACCAGGTCTGGAGTGGGCCTCGCTCTTTGGTGCTCGGCTCGAGGGCATATAGAGTCCGACAATAAGGGTACATCGAACTTAAAGGAGTTTCTAATACTGTCCATTCGACCGATCTCCCCATGGGGTCCCCACAGATCGGCGAGGATTAGATCCATATCCTTGATATTTGGAGTATCCGAGCAACTGGTTACCAAGAAGCTATATATAGGTTGTAGGTACGTCTGAGCTTTATGTTTCTTGAATTTTTTACAACAGACACTCATGTGGGTGATATGAATCTATTTCTCATCCCGCCTTTTGTTCTCTCATAATTCACCTAGGTCATTTCCACCACGATGATAGATCAACGTCGGAAATGGATGGTGGCGTCGATATTGAAGGAGAAGCGGCTTTTGATTGCTATCAACTGCCTGGCCGGCTTGTCGATATTCTTTTTCGGTAAGACCGGATACGGCGTATAGCTCATAAATCTCCCGCTAACAGATATTTAGGCTACGATCAGGGCATGATGGGTGGCGTGAACAGCTCGCCGGACTATATCTACCGCATGAAGTTTGGTTACGTTGACGACACTGGCGAGCCCGTGGTTACCGATACACTCCTCCAGGGAGGCATTATGTCCGTGTTTTACCTTGGTACCCTGATCGGATGTATGATAGGAGGTTACATCGGCGACCGGTTCGGTCGAATTAATACCATCGCTGTGGGCGCTATCTGGGGCATCATTGGCGCTTCGTTGCAGTGCTCTTCGATGAATTCCGACTGGATGATTGGATCTCGCTTTGTTAACGGAATCGGGACTGGTATTCTCAACAGTATTGTGCCTGTATGGGCATCCGAACTTGCCGACTACAGCTCTCGCGGCGCCTTTATCGCGATGGAGTTCACATTGAACATATTCGGTGTCGTCGTAGCTTATTGGCTAGGATTCGGCCTTAGTTATGTCGATGGAGGTAACTCCGCTTTTAGATGGCGTTTTCCCATTGCTTTCCAGATCATCCCATTATTATTTCTCCTTTTCTCTTGCTTCTTCTTTCCCGAGTCGCCCCGCTGGCTCTGCAAGGCCGAAAGGGAGGAAGAGGCGCTGTATGTCCTCACCCGTCTCCGAGGAACAGAGGGTGCCGGTCTTGCCCAGGCCGAAGTAGAGCTTTCTGATATCCGAGAGATTATTCGCATCGAAGAAACTGAACACGGGACCTCTTATATCCACATGCTGTTCGGCCTAGGATCTCCCAAACTACATATTGGTCGCCGGGTTCAGCTTGTAATCTGGCTACAGATCATTCAGTGCTGGACGGGTATTGCTGGTATTACTATGTACGGTCCGACTATATTTCACATTGCCGGTTTCGACCCCCATAAATCTCTCTGGATATCAGGCTTGAATAACATAACTTACACCTTTGCTACCCTTATTTGTGTTGTCCTTATCGATCGGATTGGCCGACGTTGGACTCTCTATTGGGGTTCCGCAGCACAAGGAGTCGCTATGTTCCTCGTCGGTGGCCTCTCGCGTGGTGGACTGAATGCTCGCGAGGCCGGCTACATCGACACGGCTAACGCGTGGGGCGGCGCCGCTGCTTCAATGGTTTTTATCTATACTTTTGTCTTCGGCGCTACTTGGCTTACTGTCCCGTGGCTGTATCCCGCTGAGATCTTTCCCCTTAAAGTTAGAGCTAAGGGTAACGCTTGGGGTGTTGTCGGTTGGAGTATTGGAAATGGGTAGGCGCCCTTAGTGGTTTCTGATTGGGATGATGCTAATTGCGTTTTCTTAGGACTCTTACGCTCATCTTGCCCTACATCGTTTCTGCGGTTAACGAGAAGATGATGTATATCTTTGCTGCCGTCAACGTCATCAGCATCCCTATTGGTAAACCTTCCTAAAATTATTTTCATCTTTGTTGATCATGCTTACACCACCTAGTTTGGGCCTTCTATCCCGAGTCGAACCAGCGAACGCTAGAAGAAATAGATCTACTATTTGCATCCGAGAGCCCCTTTACATGGGACGCCGAAAAGACCTTTAGAAAGCTAAAGGAAGAGTCAGCTGTGACGGGTGGACTGACCCAGAAAGAGAAGATCGACGTTGAGGCAGTTCAACACTTCGAATAACCAGCGAGTGTATTGTGTTTGAACGGCTATAATTATGGTCTGGAATTTATTTTTTTCGGAATGAGAAAGTAAGGCGTAGTGAGAGATATCGAGTTAAATACGGGGTGGGTGCTCTTTGATGACCCCTCTATCATACACATTCCGATATTTCTAGTAGTTATATGTAAATAAGTGTTGGAACCTCTATGTCTCCACATGTGCCTATCGTGAACCAAATGGAGCTACAGTTAAGACCAATACTATCTGTTATAGAGTCTATAATATAATACAAATGCTACTTAACTGATAATAATATAATACATATTTGCTATATAGCTGGTCCATTGGCGTCGCGTGTCACAAGAAACGGTGTATGCTTGGACACCAGCACAGGTTTTCAGGGATTTTTAAAATAATAGTTACCTCTTGTAGAATCTGTAGACAACCTTGTGCTTGATGGTTACCTTCCTTGTTGAATATTCCGAGCTACTGCAAGGTACACCTAAAGTCATATATGTTTGTTTTCCGGATCGCCTCCTTATGCGACTGGGCCATTGATGTTCTAAATATTCTCCTCTCTCCGACTTCCCCGCCTTTCCTACTTTGGGTGTTCCGCTTTCAACAGCGTCGAACTGTGGATTGATCACCGCTTGGGACGAGCCCCGAAGTTTACAGTGGACTTAGGGGAGGGGCCGAAAGGTTGGCACAGTTTCGTGGTCGCCAAGTCAATACTAATTACCACATCCCAACACCCTCGACCCGAGGGCTATCCTAGTGATGAGCTGCGTGCATTACACCGCCGTTAGTTAGCCCTTTAACCTAGTGATCCGATTAGCTTGATTTTATATCTTACATAGCTCTATGAGAGAGGGAGGGGTCTTTGTGCGTACAAGCTCTAAGAACGGCGAGACGGGTCAAATAGACCATACATAGAATCATGACTATGATTGCTATATGACTGAAATATCTATTCACAATCGAGTAGCCTATAGCTTTATCTAATTACTCTTACGTCGTCCCTACCTGTGTACAATATACTAAACGCTCAGCTCATCTTGTATATACTGGTTTGAGTTATCATCAAAGAAATCACCAAGAAAAGAGCCTAATCGACACAAGACTGCTGTAACTCCATCTCACTCATACACGAACACATACGCCCTCAATGTCTTGCCAATCCTTCTACCGCTCTGCCGTCAGGCGATTCTCCAAGTCACTCAACTGCCAGAGTAAAGCTTCTCATGTGCCGTCCACGGCCCGTTTACTAAGCACACGCAACACGCAGTTTACGCTCAACACAGGTGCTAAGATCCCCGCCATAGGGTTTGGTACCTTTCAAGATCCTGAGTCGCAAGAGGAGGGCGTTTGTAGGGCTCTGAAGATGGGCATGCGTCTGATAGACACGGCGCGGGTCTACAACGTCGAGAAGCAAGTTGGTAAGGGAATCAAGGCTAGCGGCGTCCCCCGTGAGGAAATTTTCCTTGGGACGAAACTTTGGTGCAACAACTATCATCCCGACGACGTCGAGAGAGCCTTAGACGAGTCTTTAGCCGATCTAGACACCCCCTATGTCGACCTACTCATGATGCACTACCCATGTACCTTCAAGAGAGGCCCAGAGCGCTTCCCCAGAGACGCTGATGGTAAGATGATCCTGGGAAACACGACTTTCGTCGATACATGGAAGGCGATGGAACAGCTAGTGAAAATTGGCAAGGTCAAATCCATTGGTGTTTCCAACTTTAGTAAGGGAGAGTTGGAAACCCTCATAGAGAAGACGTCGACGGTAAGTCAAATGCTTAGCCCTCGAGAAAGTCCCACCTAATTGTCTCATCATTGATTAACATGATAATAGACCCCGGCTGTTCACCAGATGGAAGTTCACCCGTACCTGCAGCAGAAATCCTTCAACCAGTGGCTTAAATCTAAAGGTATTCACGTGGTCCAGTTTAGCCCTCTCGGTAACATGAACGACTTCTATAGGAAGACTGGCTGGAGCAAGGATATCTCGCACATGATGAAACTTATCGAGCAGCCACTACTACTAGAGATCGGGAAGAAGTATAACAAGAGCGCGGTACAAATCGCATTAGCGTGGGGCATAAACAACGGCCGTTCCGTTATTCCCAAGAGCGTTATCGATTGGCAAGTCCAGCAAAACCTCGAAGCCGACTTCGAACTTGCGAAAGAAGACATGGAAGCCCTCGCTACTCTGGACATCAAGGCGCGGTTTAACGACCCCAGCTTAGACTATCAGTGGAGGCTATACAGCGATCTCGAAGGTACCGAGGGAACAGTTGAGGGACGAACTCATTAGATGGACCAATAGGTCGGCAATGTATGCACACACCTGATTCAGCAATCGGTTGCTTAGGTACCTTTGGGGAATTCGTTACCATACCGGAGAGTCTGCCTAGCGGAGGCTGAATATACTACGATACCCCATCTCGCCTTTCGCGGGAGGACTCGGAAGAGCACCAAGCTCGCGTGGCGTGCGTAGAATAAACAAGACAAAAATCGCTCTGATTATAATTTTACAAACTTATCGTACCTTGCGAAACGCGTGTAAATTAAGATAAAAATAAATTCGGTTACAACAATAGAGATGGTATCCTAGATTATTGCCGGCTTTCATCATCTGTTAACAATTCTTGACAACTAATAGAGACTAGAGTTATTAAAGCCGAGTCGTGTTTATATTTGATGCCGCCGAGGCTTTGAAACCAGGCTCTCTGTGCAAGTAACTCCAGTATCATTTTCATACCTTGACGCACTAAAATCAAGAGCTGTCCCCCCAATAGCGCTAAACTATAGGACATTTAGCATTTAAACAGTCAATTTTAGATCGACATGGAATTTGATGAGGGTCATAGCGTCGCCTTGCACTATGACCCCTAAAAGGTACCTACTGTAGACATGTATCATGATATTGTTATTAATAGACTATAAATTATTTTGTGCTAATTTATTAATACAATTCATATACCCTCTAATCCTTTCCTCCTTCTCCTGCTTTACGTGACGGGGTTTGCACAGCAAATATTGGCAAACTGCAGTGGCCGGCATCGCTATAAATATAGGGGCAAGCTACTTGAATTTAGTGAACGGGCCACTATCCGACCTTCATCTTAGCAAGGGATCTGGGAGAGATGTCAGTTGATAGCAGATGATGCACACTGAAAACATATGGCCTAGTTTAGCAGCCTAGGTGACTGCGCTTCGTCTATCGCTTCTGTTGAGTGGAATCAACACTATAGCCCTCGGGTCGACCTACTTACTTCGTAGACACCTTTAACTTTAGGCCGATCATATCCCTACTCTTCTCCCCTCGTTGGCCTGATATCCGTTCATCGTGGGGTACCCCCGGCACGGGGGACGAAGTCGCAGGGTTCGGTTGCAGGTACGCCGCATTTACATGCCCTTCTCCTACATAGCCCCGCGATAATGGCCAAATGCTGAACTAGAGCGAATTTTTATTCGAGAGGATGTTCATTACTAGGCGACGGAGGCCAGCTTTCAGTGCGATCGGTGGTTAATGGTCGCACGTCGTCATTGTTATCGCCGCAACTAGTTAGGGGAGCGAGACGAGATTTTGTCATTCGTCTATTCTGACCGCACTTCTCCAGACTGTGAGATCAACTATATATGTTTGTATTGGCCACCTGTTGTGCTTTTCTAGAAAAGAAAGGGTTTAATAACTAACATACTCTCTCATCAACTCCCTTCATCATGTCCCCACAGAAGAACATCATCATCACCGGCGCAGGTGGCTTAGTCGGGCCTCTCCTAGCCAGTCGGCTACTTAACGATCCTACCTATCGCCTAGTTCTTACCGACGTTGTTGAACCCGTCGTTCCAAAGGGAGTTAAGCATCCCGAGAACGCGGTTTGCCTTAGGGGCGATCTTAGCGACCCCGTCTTCATCAATACCCTCCTCGAAACCTCACAACCTTTGCACGCCATCTTCATATTTCACGGCATTATGAGCGCGGGATCTGAGGCAAACTACGATCTGTCGCTAAAGGTCAATGTAGAAAGCGTGAAGACCCTTCTGCTAGCGCTACGGATTAAGAATCCCGGCGTTCGCGTTATCTATAGCAGCTCCCAAGCTGTCTACGGTCAGCCATTACCGCCAGTCATCACTGATGATGTAACTCCGACGCCGGAAGGCACATACGGCGCCCACAAACTCCTGAACGAGATATTTATCAATGACATGCACCGAAAAGGCTTTATCGATGCCTTCATCCTCCGTTTCCCCACAGTTTGCGTCCGCCCGGGTCTCCCAAGCAATGCCGCTCCATCTTTTGTGTCGGGTATGATCCGTGAGCCAATGAAGGGAGAAGAATGCGTTATCCCTCTTAAGGACCGTTCTTTGAGGATGTTTCTCTGCGCACCAAGTACCTTACAAGAGAACCTGGTCAGAATCCTAAATATGGATAGCAACAAGCTACCCAAACATATCCGACACATTAATATCCCCGGTGTATCCGGTACGATTCAGGATCTTATGGACGGCCTTGCAAAGTACGGTGGAGAGGACAAGCTTAAGCTTTTGCGGGAGGAGACCAAGCCCGAGTTGGAGCGAATCCTTCGGAGCTGGCCGCAAGACTTCGATATGACAACGCCATTAAAGCTAGGGCTTAAGAGGGACGAGAAGGTGGGAGACCTCGTGAAAGAGTACATCGACTCATTGAAGTCATAAAGTTAGTAGCTCAAAGCGTAGCAGTCCAAGTTTCATAGCTAGGTCTACCTAAGAATAACAAGTCAAATTCCTGAATCATCTCCCCCCCATAGAGGAACGTGTAGTATGAGAAGCTGGCAAAATTTAGGGGAGGTACAACTGCTGAGAAACAGGCGTTTCGGTCTAAGTCCCATTGTGAGATATTCTTGCGCTTTTTTTATATTAAATCCGAATATTCAAAAGCGATGCCATTATAAACACTTCAAATGATATTTATGATCATTACTACTTCACATATGCTGGCCAGTTTAACCGTATCTAGTACGCCTCCAACAAGCGGGATGCTTTTCTCCGTATCCATAAATTCCGAAGGCTAGGCGGGTTGGTCTCACGCCGGTGGCCGAGAAGTTCGGAGTCAGTTCATGCCGATGACAAATCGATTCTTTTGTATATGTAAACCACATTTCGTGTTCGCACATCCGTTACACAGTTCAATTATTATTTCCAACTTCAACTCATAATTATTTTCATCCAAAATATCCATACTCGTTTTCAATTTCACTCACTATGGCCACAACCATTCGGAATGTGGCACTTCTTGGTGTAAGCATGAAGTCTATACTCCTCTGACTTATACTAAAAGTATCACAGGCTACTGGTGCCTTAGGGACACATATTCGTAGTGCACTAACGAAGGCAGGCTTCGTAGTAACAGCCATCCAACGCAAGGATTCTACCAATCCTGTTCCTTCAGGGGTAAAGAGCATTAAGGTCGAACTATCTAATAAAGATGACTTGACATCTGCTTTCAAAGGGCAGGATGCTGTAGTCAGGTCTGTCATCATTTCTCTTATACAATGACTCGTCTCTCTCTCGGCTTTCCTCAGCTATCTGACTCTGATTAGTGCCGTTCCAAATCCCGCTCTCGCAACGGAGAGCGTTATGATTGACGCTGCCATTGCGGCCGCTGTAAAACGGATCATCCCATCAGAGTACAGCACCAACCTAGAGACCCCGCTATCACGACAGCTACCCATAGTTAAAGATAAGGTCGAAGTCCGCGAGTACTTGCAATCTGCTATTGCGAATAACGGCACTTCTACAACCTGGTCTTCTGTGAATAATGGCCCGTTCTTCGAGATGTGCCTTAAAGTAGGTGCATTGGGTCCCAATATCAAAGAGAAAAGGGCGATTTTTCATAATGGCGGTAACCATTTGATCGGAACTTCAACACTCCCTGATATTGCTGCAGCGATAGTCAAGATTCTTGACCCTACACACCTAGATGAAACTGCGAACAAGCCAGTTTATATTTATTCGGCCGCCATTAGTGAGCGTCTTCTCACAAAGCTGGCATCTGATGTTACAGGCATTGATTTCGGTGACGTGGAGAGCGGAAAGATCACAGATCTTGACATTGATAACATGGTTGCTGAAGCCAATGAGAAGCTAGCAAAGGGCGATAGATCTGGATGGTTTAGTTACTACTATCAAATGATGTACGGAAAGGGGTATGGAGGTGAAGATTTCGAAAAGTTGTCTTGGAATGAACGACTGGGGCTAAGGACTATGGACGAGGCAGATATAAAGGCGCTGATCCGGAGTATCGCTCAAGAGTTCGGAGTTCCAGTAGGTTCAAACACCAATACCTAGTCGAGTACTTATTATACACGCAATAGATATCATAGGTCTACTACTTAGACATACAAATGAATTCATTTGTGGTAATTTGTGACCACCAACATCTTTTAGTAGTTATGGGGCATTATTTACTGTTAGTTTATATACTGTGACGCCTTCTTTTCATAAGTTAGGCATTATACGGCGGCTTTCCGTCTTAAACGGGGCGATAATCTGCTCTCATATAGTGAAGAATCGAGTATCTATTTCTTTGCTGACGAGCTGAGATGGCCTCTAGTTTTGAAGATAGTATAATCATCGGCAGGCATCAGATAATGAGGTCTTCTATGCCGTTAACATTTCTATGAAGCCCATCAGTACAAGGACGTATGGGAATACGGTGAAACTACTAGAATGTACTGGTGAGAGAAAGCGCTATCAGGGGGTAGTTTTTCAAAAATCTCTTATGGCTGACATCAATTCTCGAGTAGTTATGTATCTATTTACTTCTCAACTCCTGGATATGCGAAGAGTTACCATGAGCAACATTACTAGATGCAAGATGATGCAAGTATTCTGGAGTTTTTTAACCTAGGAAGCATATATACCGGGCACTTTGGGTCTTCATACTCTGGTGGGTATTTTCCTTACGTCCCCTAGCCTCCTACCCTAGACGTACTAATAACTAGTATCGCAAGCCCCCAAGTTCAAACCAGTTGATCCCAAACTATGATATTCCTTGAAGAGAAAGCTAGAGGTAGATGAACAACGCCACGTCTTGCAGTACTCCAGAAAAACCCCCAATGACAAGCTAACAGCAACATTTATTTCAATCAAATAAACAAAACACGTCGCCATCATGACTTCGTCGCTGACCTATCGATTTATAACTAATTCGGATCAATATTTCATTCGTCTTGTACCCATAAGTCGTCATTCGGGACAAGATCACTTGTACCTAATTGATATCAGCTTTGAACTCATTTGATATGCCTGATATTAGGTACCCATTAGACTTACAACTGAAAACATGCGTCATAAAAGTAGCGGAGATAAGCTGCCAGCAGTCCATCTCTTGGGGGTGGGTTGGGCGGTTGCAGGTACCAAGGAAGGTATTGTTGATATCTCTCATGTCGTAGTTGTTGTTTCCAGCTGCGTATAAGGCTATAGGTACTTGTTAACTAATTTCTAAGAATTATAAATAAAGAAGGGCATGAATCTACTTACTGACCGCTCCTGTCGATCGATTAAATAGAGGAACCGGATGTTCTGTCGAGTGACCGACAGCATCATCCTTATTATACATTTCAAAGCGATCGATGACCCAGTCTCTCGGTGCTTTTGCGCTGCATCCATCGCATGCCCATCGACCCTTACTAGCATCGTTATTACTGCTGGCCGAGATAGGTACCACATGACCCATGTCGGAGCAACTAAGCGGTGCGTGATCGTGGACTTGCATTTCCGTTGAGCTGAAAGTGACGCCTACGTCGGTTATATCGTTACTCTTTCCAATATAAATAGTGAAATCTGCAAGTGCAGGCGACGCAGCCGCGACAGCAAGAATAGTGGTTAGGAGGTATATCATCGTTGTTATCGTAAGCCTGACGTTGAAATTCTAATATGTTGGTTGTAATTACTATTTTCTTTCTCCTTGGTAATTGCCGAGGACGTCCCCAGTCGGGCGAATGGTAGCCCTTAAGATCTATGATACCTGCATAGAGGAACCAATATTATATCCAAGAGTGTGGTAGTATCTTGTCATCGATAGACGGGGTGGTTGAGGCTTATATAGTAAGGGTGAATATGACGCTTCGATCCGATAGCAGCACTTTTTGACCGGAGTATCGACAACTTTCAGGTAGTAGCTTATCAGGTGCATGCTGAGAGTTAAAGTAAGTCTCAGTGTAAGCCACATACGTAATAGTAGATCTGTAAATAAAATTTCATGGCTGTAACAGCTCACTACATGACTGAGGACTCAGTAAGACGTGGAATGTGGTTTAGACACGCCGGGGTAAAGATCGCCATAGTAGCACAATAGGGACAACCACATCGTCGATTATAATTTTTACTAGAAGAACCAAGAGAGCGGTTTCTTGTAGGAGTTATGAAAATCTTATACAATAAGAGACGAATGAAAATAATGATCAACTAAATCAATACTAGTGAGCTCTGTATATGGTTATAGAACTACAATAACAAATAGTAATATAGGTAGATATGCATGGTATAACTCACTTAAGGTTGTGCAAATAAGACATCGTTTGGAATTTAAGTCATTATGCAATTTAACCAAGCATTTGGTTTTAAGATCTCTGCATCATCAGCAAGGCATAACTCCCTTGGGAGCCAATTTATTATGCCAATGTAAGACATTAACAAACACCGAATGGCAACCAATTCCACTCCAGCTTTTTTTTGACATGCCTAGTTTTACTGAAGAGGCTATCCTAGGGAGCATATTAAATTCACAGTAGATTCTTATCCCTATCATGAAATCTAAGTAATTAGCTGGCTTGGATCAAGGATGCATAGGTATCTTGGTACGTGGGAATCATATACCCCTTTCCAACATTTTCATGACAACAAGTGTTAAATCGATACCAGATAGATCGCGCGTATAGCTACATTAAATGTGTCTTAGGTGTGGTGACATCAGGTGTATAAACTGGACTTGTGGACAGGTGAAAATGAGAAAAAGTAAGTTTTAGGATCCGAAGGTACGCTAATTGCATAAGATATTTCAGAGCCCCTTTGGCTATTTACCTGACATTCAGTAGCGTGGCTGTTCCGAGAGGCTAAGAATACCTCAAATACCTAAGGCAAGGTGAACGTCATTGTATTTAATACCTAACTAGATTTATAGGCATATGTAATATGAAGCACTGTAATCTAGATATATTCCCTGGATTTGCAATGCCTGGATATGTAACCATGTTACTTGAGACTTTCGTTCATTACTACGTTGCATTACAGCTAGAGGATTTATGAGACATTCCTTTACTTTAAAAGACAATAGAACACACACACCGATAAATAAGATAAAATTATCAAAATGGTTGTTCAAGTTTAATGCATTCTACGTTTATTTAGCTTTGGGTATTAGCATCGTTCACCAATACCCAATACGCCTTCTACTCGGGAAGTGAATTTCTCTTATTGGTAATCTATTCAAACGCTGAAACTTGATAACCAGTAGTTCTTGAGGCTCCCAGCTCTTATAGGTAATGAGATATCAATTAACCGTTGCATCCTTAGTCCTCAAAGTCGCATTCGACACCTCATACTCCTTCAGTTCATTCGGGATATCATCATACGAAATCTGCTCACCCCTCTGCAACAATTGGTCTAGAAGGTTGAAGATGTGTTGTGGCGCGTCTGGGCCCACGTAAAATTCGCGACCAGCAATATCAATAAAAGTACCATTAGATGCTTCCATCTCTTCCTCTCCCGGCGGATTGTGTAATTCGTATTCCTTCAACTCGGGCGGGATTTCATCATATTTTAGGTTGTCCTTTTCTGCCAAACGATAGAAATGGTTGGTGATTTCTTGTGGAACGTCATAATTGATACGAAACCTGTGGTTGTCGATGGAAATAATATCTGGTTCCACTTCTTTCAGAGCGCGGTCAGGCTTGAGTATTGGTAGTTGAGAAGCCATCAGGTTTAAATCGAAATTATGTAAAGGCTGAGTATCTTATCGATCGAATGCTATATTGTTCATATGAAGACACAAAGCAAGCTGTGATGGAGGGCATATTTATATCTTGAGGCCCTCTTGCCCCCTGGCACTTTTACTAAAGATCGGCCCAGGTATCGCGGCCTGTGCTGATAATTTGATTACTTGTTACAGTTTAGCGTGACTATATATGATATTAAAATGCTTGCAACCATCCTACGTCATCGCTTTTGATTCCACTCAGCCACGTTTTGTGACGCATAACCACGTGTAACAACAATCGAATACATGAGGAAGCTATTAATATTTCGAAATCGATAACAAGCGCCAGAATAACTACTTTACGCCCTCATAAATTGAAATTATACGAGTAGAAGATACAAGTATACCCCCCCTACCTATTCAAGCTACCTATATCTAAAAATTCTTACAGCTGATACAGACTAAGCACTGTAGACTAATATAGGAACTATCGAAATAGTTGATATGCTCAAACATAAAGATATCTATCAAAACTTTCTTGACTCTGAACTTTTCATATTTTATCAAAACACGCTGACGATGCAAAATTATGAAAACATAACTGGCTGGAGACATTTACTTTTACGAGTTATTCTAATGTGATAATTGAATCTCTAATGATCAACATCATTCTGATAGTTAATTATGTTCAAATATGCTAGATAGTTCCTTAAGTATGCTAGTTTCCATTCTAGATTCGGATAATTGAAAATGTAATTGTAGAACTATATATGATTCGAAGGTGTGTTGTCGGTTATGAAAGTGAGGTGGCAGGCTAGATATGTGTATCTCTGTACATAAATGTATATTCCAGTTAAGCAGCGTTCATAGTGATAGTCAAGTCGCCGCAGTTGATACCAGACCACAAGAACCAGTCTCCATGCTTGCTCTGCCAGCTCTTAGCCGCATTGATGGCGCAGAGACACTGAGAGACATCTCCCACGACGCAAAGCCTAGCTCCCTGACCATTTTCCTTGCAAGTGCCTCCATCTCTGCAAAGCTCCTCGACAGCACTAGCAGGAGTTTGAGAACCCTTCCATCGGCCGGCGTCATTGTTATGGTGGCAGTCGCACGCGTTGACGAGCAAACCGGGCATCATGGCGAGAATTGAAACGATTGCTGTAACTGACTTCATGTTGATGGATTGATGAGGTTCTTGTTGAAGATGCTGTAGAGAGTTAGTATAAGTAGGTTAAGTACTTAGGATTGAGTTAACAACATACAGTTAACTTTGTTCTGGTATGATAGTTGGTGAGAGTTGATGTTGTTTGTGATTGGTATTAGTTAAGTTGATGGTGACTGATTCTTGATGAGTATTTGATGTAAACTTGAGGAGATAGTGCCCTTATATAGAATTTCATATTTAGAGTAAGACTTAGATGGAAACTACAACAAAGACTTTACTATCCACCTTCTACGGTGCCAACCACTACTACTTGGTTTGTTACAACCTTGCCTTTGCTATTTTTGTCGATAGTGACGCGGTAAACATACCATACGAATTTCGATAATCGATCGGCATCGGCGAAAAGGCGAGCTTCGCTGTCATCTCGGAGTAGACAAGCCAATATTCTTAGTATTAGATAGTAGCTTCTCTCAGCCTCGTAGTGTATTGAGAAGGGGATTGGAGAGCTATTACGATAGGATTATATTATGACATAATTATTGGGCTGAGCAGTTATGCTGTGACGGTGAGAGCAATGTTACAAATTTTTATTTTCAATAGAATGCCGATCATTTAGCTCAATCATGGTTTCTAAAGTTGCCGCAAACATCTTGGCTTGTTGATTTCAAGTAGTCTATACTATTAAGAGAGACGCTTGGGTTCTCGTCGTATTCAGCATACCAGTTACCATACCTTATACTCATCCTACAATCCTTGTTCCTAATACGTGGAAATCTTCGAGAAGACCCACAAACACTCGTAACTTACGTTAGTCAAACTACCTACATACGTAAAGGGAAATAAATGGGCTTGGTAGATAAACTATCGGACTCAGGCTTATTTGACACTGGGTTTAGCATAGAATCCTTCAAAATGAATTCATGCGAAGAGCCAATTGAAATTTTTAGCATTTTCCGTCTAGTGGGTTTTCCAAGTGCGGCAAAGATGCTGTGCCGTAAGACTAAAACTTACCATGACAGCATTTTTAGTTGTTATAGCACAGCCTAACACGTGGAAACCACAACTCGTAAAAAGTAGATCATAATAACACCCTAGGTTATCTTGTTCTGTGCCTTAATCCACAACATGATCTACACTCTCTGCCGCATCCTCCGAGGCGGAGAGCTGAGAACCGGGGAACCTAGTAAAAAAAAGAAGATGCTTGGCAACTCTCTGGAAGAAGTCTCGAGATAGACGGTGTAGTATTGTTGAGCTTCTAGACAATGAACTCTGGAGGTCAAGAAGATATATAAAATAGGGTATGAACCACCAAAATTTCTAGTAAAAAAATCACCGACACTCACACTCACACTCACACTTCTAAACCAACTCAGAAGCCACCTTTTCTATCAGCTCAGCAACTTATCCATTAAGTTACTCATACTAAGCTAACTACCTCTTATCTAAACTATCTTCTATTAAACTATATCACAATGCATTTCTCCGCCTTGGTACTTGCCCTCACGATGGCCGCCGGGTCAGTCTCTGGAGTGACTATTCGTAACTTCAGGAGCGCATCATGCAAGGGAACCTACTACAGACAATGTAGCGGTATCTTACCTTGGCAGTGCTGCTCTGGTGGCCCAACCAGCAACGGGGTAGTCTCCTCGGCAGAATTCATAGGGGTTCCTCCTACCGCTCTCGGATCTATCTGCAAAGCGAAAGGCGCCACTAATTGCGGTGAAGTCGCTCGCTCTGCTTCCGGCTCGCGATTCTGTATCGGCGCAGCCAACTGCCGAGGATCTTTCTGGATGGACTGCAACTACTGCAACAAGCGTGATCTCACGAGCCGAGACGCGATCCCCCAGGAGCTCCAAGGGGCTAGTGCAGAGAATTCTGTTGAACCCGACACCATTGCTTTTGAAGATCACCAGTTCAAATACGACAGTTCAGTCCCTGCAGACGTGAAGCAAAAGTTTGACGACTTGTTTGACACCGACGCCAGCTACGCGGATATTCCCGAGGAACTCAAGCAATACGAACTCAAGGGCAGCGAGCGCAGGGGGCTTGATGACCTGGAAGAGTTGGAAGCAACTGGGCTGTTTGAGTAATTTGAAGAATAAGGAGAGACGGGGTATTAGTTACAACTGTGTCATTTAGCTGAGTGCTCTAGAAAACTCGTTGGGAGGCTCAAGCTGGCAGCTACTCTTTACCTAGGTAGACATAATGTAAGGGTATATAATTTGTGGTGGAATTCTATAGGAATGTATTATTAGCAAACAATATTTCACATATAGACTTATTTCAGGCTGAAGTTGCTCTCTATCATGTTTACAACCACCAGATGGTCTTAGTGTCAACTAGAATATATCTGTTCTTTTCGATTTTTACAAGGAGCATGTCATTAGATCTTTGTGCCATTAAAATGACGAAAATAAAGAGCGTCCAGCTGTATTAGCAGTTTAAAATATGCTTATATACAAGTCTTCGGCGGATAGCTATGTTGTGTTCCGACTTCTTGCTCGAGGCTTTAACTATTATATTTAGTAACTAACCCAGTTACATTATATCTACCCAGAGATCAAATAACCTTTCCTCGCGTCTTCAAATTCCATCAAAGGTAGGCAATTCTACCCACCAACGAGTATGTTTCCGGTGCTTGATTCCGATCATCCTCGCCGGAAGATTTATAAGTGTACTAACAACTAGTAACACTTCCGCAGCAAATTTATGTCGCCGGCTTACATTCAGAAACCTTCGGGGGTTCTAGAAATGGAGTGGCTAATCGCCATCCGTATACACCGCTCCATACTTGGGGTTCTTTAAAAGGTTCCATGTTCGTGCTTACACTCCCCACAACTGGCTCTGCGTTACTCGAAAGTGTCGTGTTGAATAGTCTTACGTAGTAATCACAAGCTTGAGTGTTCGCAAAAACAGGTTGGTTGGTGATGTTCTTGACAAACTCCAAGGGATATGGAACATTCTCCCTGGATTGCGCTGTCTCTATGGTCATATATCTATCCCATGTCCTGTTGTTGCTCCGGCTATGCGCATATGTAATGCCGCTAGGTAAGGTCTTGTAAGCGTCACATGGCGGATCAAAAGTTGACGGGTAGACATCCGCGCCGTAGCTCTCTGCTCCCTCAATGGCAAGATTGTTTTCTGCCGAAATCATGAAAGTTGCGGCCCATCGGAATGGGGTGCGACCATCGTCGAATATATCGAGGAACGGAAACTCGAGAGAAGCACGCTATCAAGTAAAGACGTCGTTAACAGAATTCTCAATGAATGCCGAGAAGATAACTGCGCTTACTGAGAAGTCTGGTAAGGAAGCGTTATAGGCGGGTAATTGGAGATCATGATCGTGCACTATCTGCGCCATCATTGGATACATCCCATCCGGAAATGAAGGTAGGAGCGTTCTGTACGCCTTCTCAAGAATTCCATACTCATTAGGGATAACCCGCCGCGCGACGTCAATAGGTATGGGCACGATCAATGTAGTTCCGTTCAAATTCCCGCTAACAAGTGTTGGGTATTGCTGAGCATGCTGATTTGGAAAGTCTTGAGATACACAGACCTCGTGTGAATGCGGAATCACGTATTGTGCAGAAGAGGCTGCATGGGTGATAAATAGGGCAAGGAGATGAAATAATGCAGTGTATATCATCTTAGATATTTAAATAGAGGTGGTGCAAAGACTGAGGAGGTTTAGGCACTTGTCTTAAGCTACACCCATGGGGATATTGAGCCCAGCAATAGAGTTATTGAGAGGTACTCAAAAGACACTTTTGAATATGCTAGAAAGACATCTTATAGTTAGCAAAGTGAATCGATCGACACAAACTCTTTTCAAAGCTAACCTAGCCTGAGTATTAGGTATCCACTATATGAAAGATCATAGTGAGAGTATACCAAACAGATGAGATCGTAATAAATGATGTAGCCCGTGTCATTTCTCGAATTAATATCCTACATTGTTTGGCGTTTGTTTGAATCAGAGTATTCAGAATCAATGACCGATCCCTCGAGGGCAGAAAATAATATTATATTAAAGCGGACAAAGAAAGTTATCAGTTAAGGGCTGTGGTTAATAATCCCGACATATCATTGTACACATGCACTACTAGCCTCCCAAACAAGAACATTGGGGATCATCACAACGCCTTTAATATTAAATGGGTAACACAGAACACGCCAACTGCCGAAAAAAAATTCAATTTAGCAAAGCTAAACTCTGTAGAAACGTGCCAAGCATCTCATCATGAATTTGCTCAAAGATGAGCGATTTTCCCATAAGCCACATGTTTCACGACGCACCAGTGTCTCGTGGAGTAAAAGCGAATTGGTCTTTGAGCCAACAGCCAATCACAATACAGCTACTTAAAACGGAACACTCTCAATCCGGGGCGGGAACCAACATGCGGGGGACCCTGCCGTGGTGGAGGCAAGGCATCCGGCGGATCGGGACTAGTGGAGAGCGGATGAGTGACGTTCCGCACAAATGAGAAAGACTCCCCAAGTAGTACGGCATATACTTATATATGCAAGGCTTCTCGGTACAACGGCTATCCGTGATCCCACAGTTGCTCTTTATGTTAATATATGCGAATCGAGTCCTCATGATAATTGCAGGTTCTGTCGAACTGCGAAAAATGAATAGCAGCCGTATACGGAGCGGCGCTTGAATAATACATTCTCACTCAAAGACATGGAGGTGACGGACATTATAGCAGATATGAGACACAGAGAGCTTAACGATTATCAATGGCTGAAATAGCGGTCAAATTATATACAGTTGAATTGTCGCCCTAGAATCATCGTGATATGAGGTGCTGCTGCTGCAGAATCCCGAGAGATTAGTCACAACGCTTAAGCCGGGAACTCGGTCAAATCACCTCCCTCAACACTTGCTTTTCCCTTCCACTGAAGCTTGCTCGGTACAAGTGGCTGCAATACCTTAAGCCAGATAGTATCATACAGACTCGGGCCGCCATCGGCGGCCTTGCTACCAGGCTCGAAACTGCCGTAGTTTTGGGAGTCAGTGCAGCAGGGACTGGCGGATCCCCAAAATGGGCCCGCCGCCCACGCTGTCCAGCCGATGTACTCCTCATTGTCCGCTAGGTAATTGACGAAGTCGGTCAGCATATCGGCGCATCCTGTATTATTGTGCCCACCGAATTCAGTAATAAAGGCCTTGAGATTGTGCTCCTATTGAAGGAATTAGTTGATAATTCGCCACTAGCGATTTGTACTATGCGACGAGTTTACTAACCTTTAGCCATTTCGTGACATCCGCCAAATTAGTCGCTGGGTCGCTGACGCATTCGCTATGGCTGCCACTATAGTCTACGTCAAGGTATTCATGGATATCGATCGCCGTGTTGTTAAGCGGATCGGTAAATTGGTGAATGATCGCGCTGTTCGGATCCGGACCTTGAGTCCAGGCGTGGCCCCCTGTCCAGCTGTTACCCGGTAGGATGATCAAGTTATTCGCATTGGCGGCACGAATGGCATCTATGGCAGCTTGGTTATTCTTGACCACAAGGCTGGTCTCCATGTCATGCGGTTCGTTCATAAGCCCAAAGATGACTTTCTCGTTATCCGCAAAGCGGCTGGCTAACTCGCCCCAGAATTCTCCGAACTGCTCCGTCGTAGCGGCGGTAGAATCCGAAGTGTTACCAATCACGCTGCCGCTATACGGTTGCGAGCTCGGGTCGTTGTAGCGCATGTAGTTGTGCGGATCCAAGATCGCATACGCACCCTTAGTAACTGTCACGTAATCGACTGCCTCCTTGAAGTAATCGAAATGGGTCTCGTTAAAAGTCTTGCCGAGGCCAGTCGCAACAGGGGCCATTCGCTCGAGTAGGAAGGCTATACGAAAGAGATTGAGGTGGTTCTCATCCACATGAACATCAATACCAGCCTTGTTGATGAATTGGTAGTCGACGCCAAATGTCCCTGGTAAGCCGGTACCCTTCTTAGCATCGGCGCTCCAGACACCAAATTCGCCACCAGACTCCGCGACACCGGCGTAAAAAATTGTTGCCGAAGCCGTGGAGGCTAAACTAGCAAATAGAACTGGATACTTCATGTTGGATAAGTTCGATGTACGAATTCTTAGTAGATAGGAGTTGAATAGCTCGCTTGCTGATGAGGACCAAGTACGTCTTATAAGTTAGACTTGGTACACCCAAGAACATGATCGACCAGTAGCCCCCCGAAATCAATCAATTAGAATCTCCAGTGGGGGTGGATGAACGATGCCCGACGTCCATTCCTAGGAATGGAAACGACGTGATTTATATATCATTATGCCGTGTCGGCGCAATCTCATCTTGAGACCCGGGATTTCGGAACACATCTTAAATTGACCGCAGAAAATTACTGCTAGAGGAATATGACCCAGCCAAACCAGGCCATAGATCTAGGAACAAGTATCAAAAAGTCTTTTATCATTTATCGTGGGTATCATTGTAGTGATGATGAGATCAAATGCGGAGGTTGTGGCTCCGCCTATGGATTTTGAGAAGACAGGTTCTAGCTCCGAAGCTGTTCTCGGCGATTGGATGATCGTCTTCTTGCATTTTATCGCTTAGAAGAGGATAGTTCGGTGTCGAGCCGCCGAGTCCAGGAGAACCGCGGGCTCGCTGCCCAACGTGACTGGAGTCTACATTGTGAATATCCTAGCTCCAATATGACCTGGATCATTAGAGCGCGCCACCAACAAGACTGACAATCCACATTGCAATTCTGACTTTTAACCCGACCCGCCTTTCAGTTTTTGCAAAGTCATCTAATGTTACAGGACTTGCGTATTCTTGTAGCCACTTTTGCTCATCGCCTAACCTCTTCTTCAGATCGCCATCTTGCGTCACGATCAAAGCGCCGGCTTCAAGGTCGTGAGAATAGCTGCGTTTCGTATAATTGGAACTGCCAATGATGCTGATCGCCGGGTCCCGTTCATTCGGAAGGGTTATCCATAGCCCCTTAGCATGATATGTCCACCCACCTGGTTCGTTGACAGCGCCTCTCCTCCATTCTTTGAGAACTACTGAAGAATCTTGCCTTCGCTCTTTGATCGTGCGAAGGAACCTTCGGGCGAGCAGGGTGTACGCATCAGGTAAAAGCCCAGATACGCCCTTCGACTTGTAAAATCCATTGGCGTATGGAGACGCCGTAATGACTACATTATTTTGCGAAGCTGTCGAGAGAAGAAGATTCGTAAGCGATGGAGCTGGGTTAAAATATCCTGCCGTGAAAGTCCACGATGAACCAGAATACTCTGGCGCCGCAAGCGTTTTTAAGATATGCGTCATCACCGGGAGTTCAGTGGACGAATCTGGTTTCATAAGTTGTGATAATTGGCCAAGCATATAAACTTTGGTATTCCGCGATATGGGCGAACCCTGGTCTTGCGACTCGACATCATCAAGGGTTCCGTTTCGGGCTATCAACCCACTTACAAGTGGTGTAGCTTTTGAGATAAACTCGGCAGGTTGATCTAGAGGGGACGGGGCGGCATTATTTGATGGCCAACTCAGTTTAAAACCTGCAGGATCATCATTCGTTGGTTCGACCAAAAAGCTAAGTGATGTGACGCCCTGATAAAGTCTCCAGAAATAGGTGGTCACTTCGCTGGAAGAGAATAGGTGATACCGATCTTGGCGATTGGTGAAATAATCGTTCGAAAGATTAGCACTAGATGAATTTAGCTAGATGTTCCTCGATTGTAAAGAGAGAAAAAAAGAAAAAGAATTACCCCGAGAGAATTATTTCGTCGTCGATTCCATATAGTTTCATGTGTTGTAGCCCCCACCCTTCATTGATTCGCTTTGGTATATGTTTCTTCCGGAAGCCGGTCAGGTTCGGCGTATGGTACATTCGAATCTCAACACGATCTGAGCCGAACTCTGCAATAAGAGGGGCAAGAAGAGAGGCGCAAGATGGATTAGGTGCCTCTCGAGTTCCACGAAGGGCGTCCGTAAGGATGCTTAATTTTAGCTCGGGGTTCGCGCGAAGGGCATCTTGGAGCGTCGCAATCTCAATTCCAGTTAGCATTAATCTTCACGATTATAGACAGGTCTAGATACATACCAGTTCCTTCTCTGATTTCCCAATATATAGAGTAGATAAAAATATCCTTTTCTTAGCGCTACGTATTCTGGTCTAGCAATGTCAACTTAGTCCTGTTCACTCCATTCCCAAGGAAATATCACCGACCTTTAATGTCTCATAGAAATCAGTAGGGGTTTTGATGATTTGTATCTGCGAGCCGTCGATCTGGAATGACGGTGCGATCCTATCTAACTCATTTACGAATGGCGCCAACATTCCGGTAGAGCTGGAAGCACTACCTGTCGACATAGGACTCGAAGGGATAGAATATCGACGACACCATTGCTGGCCATGTCGGCTCAGAGGATGAGCAAAGGTAGGTCGTAGCTTTAAGCAGCATCGCGAAGCACCTCGAGCTATCATGGCAATTACCGAGAAAGAACTGAATAATTCATACCTACTATAACGTATTTATTAGCTAGAAGCTAACGTTGCGACCCGATTGAATTTTTAAGCTCTCTAAGTTTCTAATTGCTTGACTAACGTAGTGTCTTATCGATAGATATCTCTAGTGTACCTAATAAAATGACGTCGTTAGATCGGGTACTGAGATACTTCTAATTATCACACAAGGCCCGAGCCCGCCCGCAGGCATACAGTAGGTCGGTCCGATGAATATCCGCCGGTTTATTCCGCCCAATTGAATGCGCTTTCAATGCGATGACCTCGAATTAAACCCATCTTACACTTACGACAGCAACATTGAAGGTGGCCGAAGTCCCATTGAGCTTCGCCCACCATGTCGACCATCACAAGAACCCTCACCAACTTGTGGCGAGTAGGAATAAAGGTTAGTCATTTAATCCTCGAACTTTGTACTAATGCTAACATTAATTGCGACAGGACTACTTCCACCAACTCCAAGTATGTTAATCATCGATATCATTGAGCTATTAATTCGAAACTAATGATAGCTTCCCATGAAATAGAATATCGGTACGATTTAACCGAAATCTTATATCGTAGACAAATACTGACGCGATGTAGGCGACACGAAAGCTGGTACCTTAATCGGCGTTGACCGTTTTGGCAATAAATATTTCGAGAACAACGAAGAACTGCCTCGTACGTTGTTATAACGTAGGATCGATCGATTACGGAAGCTAATAAAGTGTAGTACGGACCAGATGGGTGGACTACAAGAGCTCCGACTTCGACGCGTACGTATTCCCTAAGAGTTTGATTCCCGGGCTATTTGCTAATGTCGGAATTTAGGGGCCAGATTGAGCCCGGCTGGCACGCCTGGATGGCCTATACCGTCGACAAGCCGCCTTCACAAGACCCGCTACTTGCATACAAAAAGAGAGTATGGGAAGATACCGACGCGAAAACTATTCCTAACTACACTGCAACACGGGGAGCATACAAGCCGTATAGCACGTACGTTACTACAAACCTATATCCGAGTATCTACTAATATCCTTGTAGATCAAAGTCGAAGATTACAATGTGGGAGCCTACCACCGTCGAGAGGAAATAAACACTTAAGAAATAAGCCGTGTACATAGGCATGATGGCTAGGGAAAGCCAGGACCAAAGCAATGACAGTCGTATTCCCACCAGTACCATCGCCTACATTTATATCGTGCTTCCATCCAATAAGGGCATATGATGAACAGTGCATTAATCATTTTCTCCACTCATCTCGAGGAAGTCAACATTAGATCAAACCCGATGGTAGATCTAAGAGTTCCATAGGAACGGATTTCGACAATACCAACACTAGCGAGGAAGAGTTTATTCGGAAACGGTCTTAGGAGGTAGTATGCGACAGCAAAAACTCACTTTTCAATTAATGGCGATAATAGCTCGCCGTACGCAGACGTACGCTTTAGAGTTAAAATAGTATCAAATTCGAGACGGGATATTTCAATTACCCCGACTTTCTGAAGCATTTTGCGTATATGGACAATATAGACATAGAATTCGAAGTTATAGTCCAAGTTCACATTTTCGATACCATATCTCGCGATGCACCTAACCTAGTAATTTCCCCCCTTCTCTTCGTGAAACAACTCCTTTTTATTTACAGTCCCCAGGCACTGATCATTAGGCAATCACTTCTTCTACTAATATCTTAGGTATGTCCTGTATTCTATCTCAGTCCATTACTAATTTTGCCCTATTAGCTAATGAAATATGGAATCAAAAACCTTGGACATCTCTGGACCTACGTCTCGGTAGGGTTCCAATTTCCCTCCAAGAAGCAAGTCCTCGAGAGTGGCTTTCCTGTAACCCTCGACTTCCCATAAATCATTAACCCCTTTCACTATTAACCCTTCTCCCCAAGCCTTTCGGCAGTACCACGATAAAGCCATAGGACTACCTGATTTTATCGCCTTATCAAGCTCGTTGTCAATCTTCTCCGAACTGTGTCTGAATATCTGCGGTTCTGCGCCGTGTTTCTTCTTCAAGACAGCAGCAATTTCCTTCCCTGTAGCCCTCAGCTCTGAAAGACCGATTGCCCTGTCCTGCAATTGCTCCAAGGGTGTAGTGGCGAAGATGGATGCGTATGCCGCGGCCACATAATTCCTCGTGCATATGTTGGCTTGCTGGTTAGCACTATCCCCTGAGAAGATGACTCGGTTCCCGGGAACATCAACTCCCAAAATTCTATACAGCCCCGTTAGCTCGTGTTCGGCATTCATACCCTGCGTAATGCTCACCCAATTGAAAGCGCTGATTCGGCAAAAGATCCTACATATACCAGTGTAATCGGTATCTTGGCTTCCTTAGCTGCCTCTTCAACCTCGAACTTGGCCTTTAGGACGGGAACCCGTAAAGCCGATTCCGCATAATTACGGAACGCAAGATCCGACGGAACGAACAGTTTAACATTGGTGCTTGGGATCGCCTTGATGAAAGCGTGCTGTTTCAACACGGCTTCTCGACCAGCTAGAGAGCTTCGGGTATCAATTAGCGCCAAGAAATACATGCCTTGGATAGGCTGCCTGCTAGTTATGCTTACATGACAATATCGATGTCTTGCAGAGCATCAATTAATTGCTTCTGATTGTCTAAGTCGACCTCAACCCTAGGTACGCTTGACGGTAAACTGGATGCATCAGAACCCGGCCGATATAGCACCTTGACTAGCGCATGCGAAGCTATCAAGGCGTTAGTGATAGCCGAACTAGCCCAGCCACGGTGTCCATAAATAGCGATGCGGTTAAAAGACATTGTATATGTGTATGTGAAAGTGCTTTGTTGTCGATAGGAAAGCCAATAATTACCAGTTGAGCCGCGAGGCTATCTTATTATATATACATGTTTACCATATTGGCGACTAATAAGAAGAAGGCTGAAATTAAAGTGAATTAGTAATGTGTCCCATTCGGAGTCAGCCTCGCGATATTTTCAGGGGCGATTATAACCCGAAGAGCAGTATAACGACAGGAATTAAGTATGGGGTAGTCGGAATTAATGACAAGGCATAACCGCGAAAAAGGTTGACTCACACCGAAAACCACTAACTAGTCCACCCGCAGCATATCCCTTGTCTTCCGTAAAAGCGATCATATTTATTAGCTGGATAACAATTGGCCGTACTGTTAGCCTTGTCGTATCGTGTGATCCCACCAAGCTAATTCTTCAGCCTTGATTTGTAATGCATAGCATGATGATGACAACGTATAATCCTCAACCAAAAACGGAATAGCAATACGAGGCTTTAATTAGTCTAAAACTAATAATCTGTCACATCCGATATATGTTGATTAGACATCGCAACAACCGGTCTATGGCGATTAACACATAGAATCGGACATGTTCTCCCAACCCTTAGGCGTCTTAACCCCCTTATTCTGTCAGACATGCCTGGCTGTTTACCATCTAACCCTAGTACATCATTATTATTAAGTTTTTGTATAAGCTTCCTATCAATATCTATCAATAAATAACATTCCAATACCAAATCATGAATCTTAGAGGTTATAGACATTATCATGCCGAAACGTCCAGTATGACTCTTGAATAGCCCAAAGGTGGTTCGAAGAAGTTCATAGGCGTAATTAATATTTGAGGTTCAGTATCGAGTTACGAGTATACTTCAAGTACGCCTACCCACGACCCAAGACGCCCAGGATGCGGCCCACCGCGCAGCGGCATAGTAATATAGGTACCTAGGTGGGTGGGTAGGTAGGTACCTAGGTAGATGATGCATTTCTTGGTTGTACTGTGATCCTGATACGTGGACCTTCAAGTCGTTAGACGAACCATAGGCATGCCAAACATTACATGAATTCGACGCACCCGAAATATTAATGAGTTACCCCGATTCGTCATCGCATATAACAACCCCTACAATCAAATCCAGATTGTCCCACGGACACACCACCTCTTTAGTCTAGGGCCATAACCATATGCCTTCTTCTAACTGTTACGCAACCGCCCTAGTACATTTGTCTTGCATGGGATATGATTCTCGTATGAGTCTCTCGTTCGATATGTTTGGCAAATTATTCGGCGACGTTGACCGACTAGAGCTGTCGTGTTGGTCATATGTAACGTGGAATGTTTGTTGTACATGAATGGAGGCTTGATGCGACCCGTCGGCCCATGATGTTCTGGTCGCTTGGGTAGATTGCGAGCTGAATATACTTTTGGTAGATAAGAGGACTGGTTCCCAAATCCATTTCCTGAAGAGGAACTGGATAGTCGGTAGACATGCTGCTAAAACCCCTATACCGCATTCGACCATTCCCCAATATAGACAAGCCGTTGTTCCAACTACAGGGGAAATGAGCTTCTATTCTGAAAAGGCAGGATTATCAGTACCTACGAATACTATCATTTGTGATATTAATACTTCCCAAATAGCTTCCAGCCATGAGTACAAAGCGTACTATTGAAGCGATGACAGTCCTTGAGTACATTAGCACTATCGTGGTTCAGTATTGGTATCACCTTACCCGCTTCCGAGAAGAAATAGTGAACAGACTCCCAGTTTCTTCCTCGGGGATAACTGTAGCCGTAACACCTAGATTTATGTTAGCCCAATGCCCAGAAGACCAAACGGATATACCTACCAGTGGAATTGGAATACAGATTATGAATACGTCCGCAATAAAGTCAGTAACACATAGAGCAAGAATGAGTTTCATATTACTGGAGCAATGCGTCTGAAACTCCTGTTGCGAGTTCCAGATAGCCCAGAAATTGCGACCGCATTCAAAAAACATGCCGAAGAAAAAGGCGACGGCCCATACCAATATAAAGATGATAAACGCCTTAAGAAATTTGTTTATAGCGCTACGCTCCTGGGTCGCGAAGACACGCATGTAAAAGAATAGAAAGCTCGCCTTCATACACCCCGTTGCTATGGGGAGCATGAGGAAGAAAATCCACTCGAGCTGTCCTACATTGTTAGGTCCCATTAGCTTCACATGCTTCGGTATCACTTACTTGTGACTTAAGACTCAGCTGCGGAGTGACAAGTTCGAAAGGATTTCCTTGAAAGCCATCCGGTATTATAGTTCGATACCCTAGTGCCTTCTGTGAAACACCGTAGAGTTGGCAAATGCCAATCCCTACGGTTATAAGCTACACGTAGAGCGTTAGCGTCGACGGCGAATCGAGACCACTTGTAGGTTAGAATACCGTGGCAGGCACCATGAGCCAGTCATCGGCCCTGAGTGGTTGCTTCTGAACTTTACGGGCCCAAAATCGTAGCCCAACGACGAAAATATCGATCACGGAAAGGACTATAGCCGCTGCGATGACATGGCCAGGGCGCATATAGTAAAATGGCTCCTCCTCTGCCATAGCTCAAATATGATTTGAATTTATATTAATGATAGATTGTTGGGTATCTGATGCACTGAATTTGGCGGGGAATACTCAGGACTAAGATTCGGATGACAGCAGTTCCATATAACCATGAGAGGAATAGAGCCAGCCTCGTTGTTTACAATAAGCACACACATCTTGAATGATAAGAGAGTAGATCTAAAGGAGTGGGCAGACTTGTAAGTTTCTTTCGAACTTCATGACATTTACCTACGCCGCAGACCTAATAAGCATATGATTTGCTCACGAAAAAGTGGCTGCATATACTCCCACCCTACGGAGAAATGCCAACCATAAGCGACATCACACATGCCGGAAGGGGACATAATCGCCAATGCAGCCTAGCTAATGCACCCAAGCATAAGTGTGACAAGATGCTGTCATACATTTCAGATAGAATATGCTGACCTATTTCCAGTTGATGGCAATAATTTTCTTCTATCTGAATTAAACATTAAGCTTTAATCGCTCATTCAATTATTCAATTCCCACTGTTATATCCAAGGGTCAACTTTGTAGCCAGTTTCGGCAATGCCGGCCCTCTTTAGGCCATAGTTAGCAGCCGGGCATTTTTAGAATTGGGCCGCTTACTAGAATCTACGATATCTACAGAAGAAGGAGTGCTGACAACTCAAAGGAGGTGTATTTATGCAAGTTACACTGCATCTACGACATACTTCACGGGATCTTGTTCCATCATTGGATACTCACCATTTGGGGGCGTCAAGCCTACGATCCATCGACAATAACCCCGAACTCCTTCTGATTCTAATTGGTAATGTTCTAGGAAGAGACACGGGATTTAAGTATCATTCTAGGCTATTTAAATACCAGCTATTTCCTCTTTGATGCTAGGTGGATGGATATATACCTAGGTAGGTACCTAACTATTTAGTTCAAGCCCTCACATATCCAGTCGAGGCTCCGGTGGTACCCTTAATAAACTCTCATATGACATTTGCCACATGTGCTGCCCACTCTTGCTTTTGTCCTGCGACATTTAAATACCAATCATAAGCACAAGCCATATCGCACCAAAGCTAAAGGAAATACTGGTGCTTATGAATGACAAATTATTCTGTCCGATAATTGGCCAAGCTTAAGAAAATGGACCAGTTTGATTCTTATAAGACCTAATGATGGAGACCTGTGTAACAATAGATTCCAGTTTCGATTCTTATCCGATATTTAACTTGTAACTTGTTATATTTCTCATCGAAGCTATTCCTATATTAAATATAGCCCTTCTACTATTTAATGAAATCAGTTTAATGTACAGTAAGCATACTAGGAAAGCGTAGTACTAAACATACCTCTCAATAAACCTCTTTACCCTATTGATAAGTCTCCCCTTAGATTTTCACAATAAGTACCTATGTACACTTCAATCAGCTTAATAATTTCTTCATATCCAGTTTTTGAGCTATCAGTACGTAGTCTGTAGATGGAGAGCATTTAAATCGTACATCCTGTCCTATGGTAGAGTCGAGCAGTCGAGCAATATGCAAACAGATTCGTTGCTCCACAACAAACTTTGAACTTTAAGCACTCGAGTACCTAAGGTACCTATGTACTGAAGATTCAATGTTGATGCTGCATGTATTTAATTGAAAGTACTTGGGTACCTTAGGTACCTATCCTCTTTATCCGGAATGTCTGAAATCAAAGCCTTGAACTGGTGGCCAGTTCAAGAAATCTCCATTTTCTAATCAGTAACTACCTGGGTACCTAACCTAGGTACATTAGGTACCTAGGTATTTCTTAGTCAGTTTCTCTACATGTAGTTATAATGTGATCCTAAAAAGGTCGAGAAATAAAATGGAAACAATGTTAGGCAAGAACTACAAATCATAAGAATACAGGGCACTTTCCTAGAATAACTCATTTATGCAATGTACCTAGGTACCCTAGGTACCACTTAAGCAAAGGGAAGGAGCAAGTAATTGAACAGTAAAGTACCTGGGTACCTGCCAAACTGATTTAGCAGGTACTGTGCACTGTCCCGGCTCCGGTACTTTCCAAAATAGATAGGTAGTGTAGTCTAGAAAGCGGACCTGCTCCGGTGCCGAGACCCACAAATCCGGTCCCATCTGACACCGGACAGTGACTACAAGTTCGGCTCCGGCCTATAAGAAGCCCCGAAAACAATAAAAACAACAATGATTTTAATTCCAAGTACCTTAATACATTCAGTGATTTCCAAAGTTTGTGCATTAAACAAACTTTGTTGATCAGGCACTTGCCCACCTTCTATATCTGCTTGCACTTTCCTATTTTTTCCAGCCAGCTGATTTCTCTACCTTACCACCACAATTCCATCTATAAATACAACCCTCATTCTTCTCAGACTTTCTCCTTCACCTTTTTCTTCTTCCATCAATGTCATCCCTTGGACACCCTTGGACATTGATGGGTTGTTTCTTGACCAACTAAACATTCAGAGTAATTTACTTCTCATACCTCAACGCGCAGGACTTTCTGTCCTTCCGGTTGTCTTAGTACTATTTCATCACTTATCATTTACCCTACATCCGAGAAGGATATCTCTCAAGTATTTTCCCGAGCAAACCTTCGGTTTATCGGCACCGGTTTGCGAAGACTTGTCCTTTTCTGGCGCTTAATTATTAAGCGACTTGGGCAGAGACATTTACGCGTCCCTAAAGCCAGTTACAATTTCGCAGTAAGTTTCTCTCCTATCCCGACTGCCTCTGTATTGCTTTTTCTTCACGTACATACTGGGACTCTACTTTATTTTTTGTTATACATACTGACACTTTAAAGGTTGAAGTAGTTCTTATTAGTCACTCAAGTCGGATATTACGTCATTCTAACAAAATGTCAAACGCGAACCGTACGTTAAACCTACCTACGCAAAAGCTATTAATTGTGATAATACACAAATATATCTTAAAAATCCTTCCGTATAATGTATGAACCTTATTAACTTTCTCTCAGGCCCATTTCCCTGCAGCATGTGCGCTCAATCATCAAACACACAGGCCAACCTGAATGAACACATTCGATACTGTCATATTGGTACTAGCTGCCTGTTCCCCGGATGCCATGTTGGCACGGAATCCGAAAGTCTACTCCGAACGCATATTTCACAGGTTCATGGAAACGTGCCTTCCGTTGAGGGAATATACGCATGCAGTTGGCCACAATGTCCCAAAACCTTCCTAAATCAAAACTGTGTGAACCGCTGTCTTTATTTTCACACTTATGATCAATTGCATTCAGATATTCAAGTCCACCGTGGAATCACTGCCCTTCCAGCTCTATTGAACCAGGTTACACAGATCTCAACAGATCTGGTTGGTGTAGATACACGATTGAACGGCATCGACACTCGATTGAACGGCATCGACACTCGATTGAACGGCATCGAAACTCGATTGAACGCATTGAACACTAATGTAGATGCTCGCACCACCAGCATCTTGACTAGCCTTGCTGAAATGCAAACGATGCTGCAGGATTTCATCGCCAACGCTAATCGCGGCAACGGAGACGAGAAAAATGAAGAGGAGGAGGGGGAGGAGGAGGAGGAGGTCAGTGGCCGCGCCGCCAAGCGCTCAAGGACTTAAATGAGATGAATAGTTCGTAGAAGTCCATTAAAAAGTTTAATAATATTAGTTGGACTCTGTATCTCGCTTCAGTTAGCTTGTGGTTGAAGGCCCTGTTTTGTCTTTGCCTCTATGAGGCCTCAGACACGGTTAATGATATGATAGGAACCTATTCTTAGACTGAATAATTTCAAGGCATCACGGAAATAATCATGACTTCGGTGACTCTCAAATATATCTTGTAGGCCTAGAGTAATATGCGGGGCTCGCAATGCATGTCATCAACTACCTTCAAACATGGGGTAGCCTTTCCACGGCCTGATTTCCGTCTGGGGGATAATTGATAATTAGAGCATAACTTGTGACACACTGTAGCAGGTTTCTTTAGCTAATAACTAACTTATACTCAATTAAGCTTTCCCATCGGCGATGCAGTTATGTAACCAGCCATCTCGATGACATAGTTATGTGTGAAAGCAGGTGGCATATGTGTGGCTAAATGACTAGACGGTTCCCTGTTTAGTCCCTGTTCAACAGTGCTAACCAATCAGCACCTCTAGTAAAGCCACCATATGACGTAGAAAAAGGCAGCCACATTGTTTCGCCAAGGACCCCTGACCTACTCATTAGGCTTTCTTACGTCGACATTAGTATTAGACAATATTAGATGTGGTTATGGATAAGAAGCAGGCCCTTCTCTGCTAGTCTTGTTTTCTTTTCTTTTCTTTTCTCTTAAGACTCTAAATTATATTTCTAATATTCCCTCGTGTCCTATATTTTCGAACAGAATCGAAATAAATTAATTAAATAAAACAAATAACATCGATATGGAGTGGGCAAAGCAGACGTACAACGAGCAATATGAGGTTTGGATGCCCTGGATCGAGGACAACTTCCTGAAGTATTTTACCAAGGATAACAAAGCTAGCTACGCGACTAAAGGCGAGTACCTATTTCACTTAAACCACTTTTACATTGTCGTATCCGCTGCATATTCGTTCCTCTCCTGGAGAGTTGACTTGGACTCGGGCTGACCAAGGCGTATCTTACAATAGAACAACTAGACAAGGCCAAAGTTACCAATATCGAGCAGGTAGATACCCTACAAGATGGTGTACACGGCGTAGTCGCTGGGCAAGTAGGCCAAGGCGGATTGCTACAGCCAGTTGGTGATCTAGTATCAAAAGAGGGTCTCAATCGCGCCGAGCGAGGCGGAAAAGACGAGCAGGGCGGAATCCTACCTTCTTCTATTCCCGGAATCCCGGGACTCCCTGGCCTAGCAAAATAAAGGCCGTACACTGAAGACCTCAACAAAGATTGGTACTGGAAACGATGCAGGAAAGTATGTGGTATTCGTAAGGGGAGTTATGGAGTATAAGGGATTGGAATATTATGTAATGAAATGGGCCATTCGGCATATTGAAAGAAGTTGCTGTATTGGTAAATATATGCTGGGATATGTCTTATTAATTCATCCAACTAATTCAGCTTCACATTCGAAGACGGGGAATATATGTACTAGCTGTTGTTTACTACAGAGTCGTAATAAAAGAATTAAAGGTATTTGTTATTGTCATGTACTTCATAATTTCTTTAAACAGGTATAAGCAATTAAGCAGAATTTGTTAAAGCAAAACCCCCCTCGTAGAATCTGACATGCGTCATCTCCTTGATATTGTGTATCAAGCCAAATGCGACACGATGATCCTACTTCGAACAATTATATCAATTGATGAGAATGAGACTACTGTGTGCTACGACGTCATATGCATGAAGAATTGAGGTGACCAGGTATTCGGAACTACCCCTGTAGCAGATCCCATGAGAATTTATGGGCGCGAAGATAATCCTTGACATCACAACGAGAAGTCTAACGACCTTTCAATAAGAGTACCTAAGTTAAATGAACACCTAATCTATCTCGATAGCTTGAGACTTATATAGCTAATATCTTGAAAGGAACTCGAATCTCTGAAACAAAAAGAAACACGATACCGGATGCTCTAAAGTCTAGAATGCAAACGAGATCTCTGAGGGGTTTAAAATAAATGCTCCGAAGGTAACAAGGGGCTTCTATTCTAGGTTCGGGCTTCGACGGCTGCTTTAATGGCTAATTCATAAGTCAATCTTAGGTTTATATTAAATTTTAGGGGGGAATTAACTTACCATCACAAGTAACTTTAGCATCGCCGAATAACATCTTCGTTCCAGGCATGTAGAACATAGGATTGGGAACATCGGCTATTCGAACATTAGCGCATTGACCCTTGCTTCATTGTAAACGGGTATTACGAAAAAGATTCAACTTACCATAGCCACTGGCCATACCACGTTTCATAACAATAACTTGCTTACTCTTCCAAGCGTGGAGAACAGGCATTCCTGCAATCGGACTACCAGGCTCGAGCGCAATTGGGTTGACCGTATCATTCGCGCCAATTACGAGCGTAACATCAGTGTCTCCAAAGTCATCGTTTATCTCGTCCATCTCCAGTACGATATCATACGGCACGCTTGCCTCTGCTAATAGAACGTTGCACTGTCCGGGCATACGACCTGCGACAGGGTGGATAGCAAATCTAACCTTGATCCCTTTGGCCCGGAGCAAACCGGTAATTTCGCTAATGGCATATTGCGCTTTCGCGACCGCCATTCCATACCCAACTACGATAATGACATTCTCCGCGTTGACAAGAGATTCGGCTGTGTCCTCAACATTCGTCTGTGTTACTGACCCCTCGATCTTGTAGTCTGTTTTCGCTGGCGCCGATATACCACCAAATAGTACATTCGTGAGACTTCGATTCATTGCCACGCACATGATATACGAAAGGATCGAACCAGAAACCCCTATAAGCGCACCTACTGTAGTAAGTAATGGGTTTTCCAACATAAAGCCTTCCGCTACCAAGGCAAAGCCGCTGTATGCGTTAAGAACCGTGATCACGACTGGCATGTCCGCTCCGCCGATTGCAGATGTCGTAGTAAACCCTTTGGCAAACGACAGTATCGTGTTCGCACTTAGTGCCACAGCAGCAATCATAGGTGAGCCTGGTGCCATCGTAACAAAAGCGCCCATCGTTCCTATGTTAGCGGCAAGCATGCTTGAGTTAATCAGGTGCCGGCCAGGGAGAATCAAAGGCCTCGAGGACATCTTTCCAGCTAACTTCATGAACGCGACGATAGACCCGGTAAACGTGATACCACCAATTAATACTCCGAGGTAGGCTGTGACAAGGTGAAGGGTCGAGATATGAGAGAGGTCACCCATGACGCTGCCAATACTAGTCAATACCGCAGCTAGACCAACAACAGAATGGAGTGCTGCAACTGTCTGGGGAAGATCTGTTGGAGTAATGCGTTTGCCAATAACGAAGCCCAAAATAGCTCCAATCGTAGCGAGAGTACCAAATTGGGTCAACACTTCAGGACTGAATCCGACGGCTAACAAAGAGGCGAGGACACCAGAGCCAACACCGAGAATCCCAAGTAAGTTGCCCATTCTTGCCGTAGCTTGAGATGCCAAGCCAGACAAGGAGCTGATGCAAAGCACCGAGCTGACCATGTATCCCGCTTGCACAAGCCCTGCGGCCCCTGTCGAAGCCGCCGCAAGATAGCCGCCTCCGAACAGAATACCGGGAATCGCATAGAGCCATGGGTACTCCGGTGGATCAGTTGGCCCTACTTCAAATCAGCACGTAACAATATATACACAAACTAGCTAACATAACGTACGCTTAAACATATCTAGCATCCTCTTCGTAATTACGAAGCCGCCAGACACGTTTACGAAAGCTAATAGCACAGATGCTGCACCAAGCGCTTGTGGGATTGTTTCGGGGACATAACCACCACCCAAGATGAAGAGACCACCAATACCAACCATTCCTATAGCATTTAGTCAACTTCGATTTAGGCAATATATTGAGGTTGCTTACCAGATATAGCATTGGTGACGCTCATCAAGGGGGAATGAAGGGCCGGGGTCACGCCCCAGACAACTCGATACCCGATCAGCGAAGCCAGTGCGAAAGTGAAGGCGTTTCCCATGAAGATGGGTCCGGTAAGCTTTCCAAGGGCTAAAGCAGTACCCATACCAGCAGTAACTGTAGCCACTTCTCGAGATGTCTTCTGGAATGGAGTTACCGCAACTACCTCTTCCTCAGGCTTCGCTACAGCTTTAGGCGTAGGGGCTGGTGGAGGGGCTGGCCGCGGTGCAGGCGGTAGGATCTCTCCTTTATTAGTAACAATAGCACCTCGAACAACTTCGTCACTCAAATCGATGCCAAATGACTTATCCTGGGGTGTCATCGACAGAAGGAACTTAACAATATTATTCGAGTACAGAGTCGATGACTGCGTTGGCAATCTAGATGGCAAGTCCGTGTATCCTTTAATGATGTCAGTAGTCCGGCAATTTTTTAATTAACGCTTGAGTCTTACCAATGATTTTCACGCCATTGTACGTTATCAGTTTACCTGCTTCGGTCACTTCGCAATTGCCCCCTGCTTCAGCAGCCAAGTCCACGACAACAGAACCAGGTTTCATAACCTCAACCATATCCTTCGTGATTAGCTTGGGTGCTCTCTTCCCAGGAATAAGAGCTGTGGTGATAATGATATCAACGTCTCTAGCCTGCTCGGTGAATAGCTTCATTTCGGCAGCGATAAATTCAGGAGACATTTCTTTAGCATATCCCCCTGCTCCAGATCCATCTTCCTGGATCTCAACCTCGATAAACTCTGCGCCAAGAGATTGGACTTGCTCCCTTGCGGCAGAGCGTGTGTCAAAACCGCGAACAATTGCGCCCATCCTACGAGCAGTTGCAATTGCACTCAAACCCGCAACTCCAGCACCGATTACGAGAACCTTGCATGGGGGGATTTTCCCAGCCGCAGTGACCTGGCCAGTCAAGAAGCGGCCAAAGTTGTTTGACGCTTCTAGAACCGCTTTATAACCGGCAATATTCGCCATTGAGCTGAGAGCATCGAATACTTGAGCGCGGGAGATGCGAGGAATCATGTCCATAGCAAATGATGTAACCTTGCGAGCAGCGAGGCGCTCAACAATATCCTTGTTCTGGGCGGGCTGGAGCATTGAGATGATCGTTGCGCCTTCTCTAAGTCGTTCGATTTCCTTGATATTCGGCCCTCGTACTTTAAGTACGATGTCCGCTTGTTTCCAAACCTCCTCTGCGTCAACTAGGGTAGCGCCAGCTTTCTGGTAAGCTTCATCTGGAAAGTCGGCCAGCGCACCAGCTCCACGCTCTACCAATACACTACTAAAGCCCTTCTTCTTGAGCAGGGCCACATTTTGAGGCGAGATTGCCACGCGTCGCTCATTAGCAAATGTCTCGCGAGGCACACCTACAGTGAGATCTGCGTAAGGCGTGGATGGCGTCTCGACAACGGTCGAGTAGGCTGTTACCGGAATTGTTCTATTTGTAACATTCCTACCACTATCGAACGTCTTCTTTGGCAACGCAGGTAGAACTGCGGGCTTCCTAGCATGAGTACTGTTCCACTGCCGTCGACAGCCTACAGCTACCGCTCGAGATTGTGCCGTACAGTCTACACATTCCGTCTACTTAGTATATACTGCGCGAAAGAGAAATATGCTGAGATGTCTAGACACCTCATCATATTTCCATGCATTGGAACGAACCTAAGACATGTGATATGGCGCGGCGTGTAAGGCCCTCTGCCGCACGAGGCGAAGCGGGATTAGCGACCAGCGCCGGCCGAAGTAACGACCAGGACATCATATTGACAAGGCGCAATAAATGTCTGCCATGCAGCACAATTTCAAAGCTTTATTCGTCATCTGCTATACCTCCCTGCGAACTCCCAGAACGGCATCACATTACGAGGAGAAACATAAAAAAAAGGAAGTTAGAATGTCGCAAGAGACAAGAAGTACAGGAAGTACAGGAGGTTAGTAGAAGAGAAGAGTTCATCCCACGCGACCAAATAGGGATAAGAGTAGCAACTAGGGAGGACAAATAAGAATACCCAGTCAAGCTTTAGGTATGTATATTTGATAATAGTTGCCCAAGCCTTCCTTTCACCCTCCACTCGAACCTACCATCCCCCGCTTCCAAGGATCCCGGCTACATAGAACTACCAATATTCAAATAATAGGATGATAGTTGTTGGTATAGCAGTCTGGATCATCTGAAAAGTCGGCGAAACAAGCCGCACCAATCAATGGCTTAGGATTTCTAGGCTGTGTTCTTTGTGGTCGGTATAAAAGAATAGCCGACGTAGAAGAGAAGTGATATGTCTAAATCACATCCCACATCGAACGACGCGTTTAGGGGAGTACATCAAGTACATGAAGATTCTGCCTAAGTCGTCAGTCGTGTTTGACAAAGGTTACGCAAGTTGGCATGTGGGCGTCTTGTGAGAGGTTGACTGGGGGGCGAGTCGATGAGACGTAGACCCGCAAAGGGTATCCTGATTTAGCAAGTGGAGCACGTTGCATGGCAGGACATAGTTACTGGATATGCGGAGAGGGTGGGTTTGCGGGCACCAATCAATAATAAGATAGACATAGGAAGCTAGTTGCCTCATCTGTTATATGAATATTCAGCTTACAGGGGACGGTAGAAGATAAAGTTCCTACAGGTGAAGTCATAGGTTTAATATTTACGGTCTACGAACGGATCAATTCCATCAAGCAACTTTATAACTTGCTGAGCCAAGTTTTACTATGACCTCATTCAGTCCCATAAGCATATAAAATATTATTCTATAGCATATTTAAAGAGAAATGTAGAATAATGTTTATGAAGTTGATAGCTGGGGTAAACGAAATAGTTAGATTGTTAATTAAGAACGCTTCATTATAACTCTCTCTATCCAGACTAGCCCTACTTTACAAGACATTGCAATAAATCCAAAGCCAACGAAGCCATTTTGCAATAGTCTTACTAGTAAACTATATTAGCGTTAGCGGACTCGATAACATTTCACTTAGGATAGGTATTATTAAAATAATTAGGCGATGCAATCCTCGTTAGCTAATATAATATGGCAAAATGTGGGCATACTTTAGGTACTCTATGTGCCATGTGCCAACCATCTAAGACTCAATGCATTTACATATACCCAATCAGGCTGTTTAACTACATTCAATAACTTCCAGATATGGCAGTGATATAAGTGTGCATATAATATATTAGGCAATGAGGCTCTTCGCGCGTCTAGTTGAATAGGTATCATTCACAGCAGTCTGTTCAACATGTCCATCCCCAATTAACTCAGTCTGTCTATCGACGCCCACTAACATCTTCTTCACTCAATATACTTATTAACCTGCTCGTCAGTCCAGTCCCAGAATTTCTTGGCCGTGTCATTTCCACCCTCTTCTTCAGTCTTGGTCGCCTCTATCAAGTCCTTTCGAACCAAGCGAACTCGCCCCCACGGGATCACTGTAAGAGTTGAAAGTTAGCTGTCCGTACACCCCAAATGCTCCAAGAGGGTTTTCGCTGAATAACTAGGTACTTACCCCAACTTCCGGTTTTCTCAATGGTAATGTCGGGAGAAAGCCCGGCATACAGGAGAGTATAGGCGCCATTAATAGAGGGGTATGTTATGAGCGCTGTGAAAATACTCATAAAGCCTGATTGGTCACGGTACAAATCCGAAGCTAGATTCCCAGGGTTTAACGGAATGCTAATGACACCGTCGGCCTTATATCGCTTGGCGAACTCGACGCCGTGCAACCAGTTACCGGTCTTGCTGAGACCATATTTTATAAGGTATGATTTGTCATCGTGATAGTCTAAATTGCTCATATCGATACCAACGGACTTTAAACCAGTCATGTCTGTTGCCAAAGACGATACCCAGATTACGCGAGATGTTCCCTCAGTCTTGGCTGTCGAGACGAGAATCGGTGTCAAAAGCTTTGTAAACGCGTATGTTCCGATGCTGTTCACACCAAGATGATATTCATAACCCTGAGGGGTCTTGCTCGGTTCTGGGAGCGGGTTCTGAACACCAGCATTGTTAAACAGGACATCAAGTTTCTTTTCCTTCGAGAGAAACTCGTCGGCTGACGCTTTTATCGTAGTTAAGTCGCTAAGGTCTAACTTCAGGAAGCTTAGGCCTCCTTTCGAATTCGGGAAGGCTTTACTGATTTCGTCAATTGCATTTTCGGCCTTTTCTTGAGAACGTGCGGCAATGTATACTTTCGCATTCTTAGAGTAAAGAATCCTGGCGGTCTCTTTACCTACGCCCGTGTTTGAGCCGGTAACGATATAAACCTGCAAACCAAGCAAGTCAGCATCATGTTCCACGGTCTGTGTTAAGTATAAGTGGCCATGCTACTTACCTTGCCATGAAGATCGGATATATTTTTCTCAGTAAACCCCGGTTTTGGAGGGAAGAACTGAGTTATAGTGCTAGAAAAATGGGCACCCATTGCGCTGTCTATGATTCAATCAACGATAGATGGTGTTTAAAATGTAGCACAACTTGACTGTTTAAAGATTATAATTCACAAGATATCTAAGAGCAACCTTTATAAGCAGGCTCTCAGACATTTAAAAGGATTCCCAAACTACTCTTTATCAAAACCAGCCATGCCACGTACGCTTCTATTTCCGAACTGTCTCATCAGCTCAGAGAGTTAAAGTCATCTCATGCTGATAGACGCGGTGAATCTAGCCAATCAAGTCTCGTAGTTTCCGAGCGTACCAATCGTAATGCCAGATCTAGCTGTGGGGCTAATGAAGGCCCCGGCCGTGAACGCTTCCTAGGAGTCCGGTCATAACGATAGAGTTCCGTTTATACTATTCAATCATAGCACAACTCTTTACAAGCCACTCCTGTTAATAATTTTGAGAACCTTAGCTCGGTCCCTTAAAGCCGCTAGTTCCGTGCACGCTCATCCAAGTCTTCAGAAAATTAGAGCAGCGTTAGAAATACCAGCCAGCTAACTTCGATATTGCTTACTATTAGTAAGTCGCTTATATGCATGTGTTAAGTAGAGAGGTACCCAAGTATTCGGCTTTGCCTATTATAAAACCAATAAAAGATAGAGTTTTAGGTAAGCCAACTAGACTAGAATAGAAAGGAGCGGATTTTATAGGGGCTAGTTATTTATTCCTTTCAATATCTATGAGTAGGACAACTGAAGATAAATCCGAGACTTAGCAGACAAAGAGGGCCGGTACACGATACTCGTAAGCCTTGGTATATAGAGCTCGTCACTGTTTCCTACTTACTTAAGTTTCATTGTAGTTAACAGTTTCATAACATAATCCATTTCAAAGAGTAGCTTCAGTGAGCCAAATTAGCTTAATCATAGTAATGATAGAAAAGTTCCAAGATAGGAGGATTTAGAAAGGTAAAGGATTGGGAGATAACTGCTTTTCAGAGAATATGACCTATGCAAAGAGGTAGAAATATTTAACAATGAATACGTTAGCAGGTTATAATGAGTTTATAATAGTACGAGTAGAAATACGACATAGGTGGTGTTCTACTTAATCTATTAGGCGACAAGTGGATATCATGTTTAACTAAGAACATGTTTTTCAACTCCTAAGGATCAAGGACCTTATTGGGTATTTCCATACACAGCTACGTCCACACCTCCTGTTGTATACTCAAAAGTCCTTAAGGAATAACATAGGTATTCTAGCCAGCAGCCGCCTCCCAATACGTACCTAGGTATCAGGCGAACAATTCCTTTCAATGGCTATAACTTTGTAGGAAAACAGAGACGAAATATGAGCACCATTAGATGAAATAAGATAGTGCCATTTCTTTATTCCCGATCTCTATAAGGGTTCAGAAGTAATCCTACACATGGAGAAATCAATCTTACAACGTAATACCTTTAAGTATGGCTAAAGCTCGATGTTAATTTCTCTCACCGCGTATCAAATGAGATATCCTCTTCGAAATGATGTGCAAACACCATTTACCTCATGTTTATTAAGGGTTGGCTGTTTACTCTCCCTGAAACGATCATGGCAGGTTTAATATTATTAATTTTACAATTTAATAGGTAGCACATCTACCATACAGGATACACCCATACTTCATCGACAACTTCATAACAATGCATATTACGATACATTGTATGTATAGAAAGAAAGCAGCGTACGGATGATCACATTCTTGCCAGCCTATCAACAACTTGATTACGCGTGATCAAGCTCTCTGTTTCACATGCTGCTGAAAGATGTTGTAGAGGGATAGATTTGAGCATATATATATATGCCATACCCCCCGATTATGTAAGAAAAGTTTTACCATTCTCTCCTTTAACCTCGGGGTTCCGTTGATATTGATTTCGTAGACTTGTACCGTGCAAGGAAATTGTCCCTCATGTGTTATCACGTTACTCTGGAAATCTGCTGTGAAGAGGAATTCTCAAATGCCTTCCCAAACACCCTTCTACTGGTGAGGTTCTTCGTCCTCTGTCACGCAGCGAAGGTAACTTGGGCGCTTCAGGAACTTCAACATGGCGGGCCACCCCGTCCCCCGATGCCACAGGTTTGCACTGAGAATTGCCCAAACTATGATCCCGCATATCTTAGGCTTGAACGTGTGTTCTTCACTAGGTGCGAGAATTGTGTTAAAACAAAATGCTTAGAGAAATATGGGCTCAATGATGATGATGTGCCTATCATTATACATCGTGACAAGCTTCTCCGTGATGAGCTTCATACGGCAGTCGCTTTAAAGCCATATGATGAAGTAGTATTGCGGCTTTATATCGACTTTAATATCCACCAACGATGGGTATTAAGCGGCTCGCGATGGATCGTGGCTCATATCCCTATCGGAGGGAATGATCCACTAGGTCCGAACCCGACATACGATTTGGGGGGCGTGAGATGGTGGCTGGAACAGGGGATTGGTGGTATACGTCAAGATGTATTAGATTGGCTTAACGGCCTTCCACCATCAACATTTGGTTCCGATGAGCCACAGTCATTATCGACCATAGAACTTTGCCCCTCATTGGCTAGTGAAAGCCTTTCATCAGACGAGGATTCCGATCCGTCACTTGATGGTGATGACGATGAAGATGAAGACGAAGATGATGAGGACCGTCGTCCGCGATCGAGGTCGAGTACGAATTCGGATTCGTCGATGGAAGGCTACGAATGGTACGATAATTGGGCAGAGCATCACGCCTATTTGCCTGCCCAGTGTACCTACGAAGAATTCCGTGCATTGCAAGCAAGTCACCGGCAGGGTAACTCGCAGCCTCAAGGTTTGACAGGAGTAATGTCTGAAGCGAAACAATGAACAGCATCGCATCATTGCCTAGGTCTTGAATCTTTAAGTATCTTCCTAAGGTCGTAGTAGGTAGTGTAAAAACTATAAAGTCACTAAGTTAAGCGGATTAATACGACATAATTGGAATCACAAATGATCACCGGAGACTTGCCAAATGGTGCTTCTTAATGGTTTTATTATATCGAAGAGATATCTCTCGATATTTAAATAAGCCGATATGTCCTATTGGCATGGCCGCGACTTTTAGCATAGCGTGTGCTTTCCTACTGTATGCTTCCTTCTATTAGATTATTAATAGTATCAAATCCCAATGCAGATATTTTCTTTTCCCATATTCCCCCTCGCGCTTCTCTCCTCCAAAAACACTAGTAATCCCTTATCATAAATCTCTTAAGCAGAGGGGACAACGCAGTCGACCTCCTGGACGAAATCGTGAGTCCATTCCGATGTGGCGGGGAGGTCGTTCAGAGTTGCGCATTGGGGCACGAAGTTGACAGCGGCGCAGTTCTCTGGCAGAGTCTCGCCCTCATACACGTACCGAACGACTTGAATGTTTGCGCGCACGTAGCCGATGAATCGGTCGCACACAGCGTAGTAGCCGGGTGCGAGACCACCGAGCGCCACCGAGTCTCCAGACTTCTCAATCGTAAGTCCGTCGCTACCGCCGCCCACGTTGATGCTCGCGTCGTGCTCGCCAGGGTAGGTAGCATCGGTGCTTTCCGAGTCCTGTACGATGAAGCCCCACGGGAAGTCGGTGCCCAAGTCGTTTAGAACATCAACCCAGCCCTGTGCTTCTGTGCCGTTGCTGTAGTAAGGTGTGGAAGAGCTAGGGTTGCTCGCGGATACAACCGCGATGTTCTGGCCAGCACCGACGTGGATGCCGGAGAGGTAAGTTCCCGCTACGGAAGGATCCAAATCCTTGGTCTGGTCTCGGAGTTCTGCCTTGAGGTGGAAGCCCTTAGACCTGGAGAGTTGTTGGGCAGCCTGCGGGACTGGAGTAGCGCCAACGAGGGCGAGGAAGGTAAGAGGTGTGATGATTGAGGCGAGCATTTTGAATATTAGGTGATATTGAATATCGATTAATTTTATTAGAGATTAATATGTAATTGTATTTGATGTAATACTGGTTGATTGAATGAGAAATTTTTTTTCTTTATTCGAGAGCGATCATCCCGACCTTATATGTACTCCTGGCGATCGTAGCCCAACATCTCTCGTGGCGATGCACAAGCCCGAACTAGGTACCTAGAGACCGATTCCGAGATACCGATGGAGAATCCCCTTTCCAATTCTTCATCGGGAACGTTAAAGCATCTCGGACCAAGCGAGCCAACAACTGTCAACACGAAAGCTGCGGTCACCCGTCAGCGGCCTGACAGTAAGACTATCTTGAGATCGTAGACCCACGTATATTATGAAAATATGTCTGCTGATTGGACGAAATCTAATTTTTACTTACTTCCTGTCGATCTGGACTTTGTTTGTTTTAGAGGCTGAGCTCGAGATCACGAGGCGGCGCGGTAACCGTGCCGCTAGACACCCGCCGACCAATCCGAGTTAAGTCGATCACTTCTCGATTGGTCTTTTTCTTAAAATAGCGCGGTACGACGCATAATACCACTGATCTTTGGGGTTTAGTGGGTGATTTCTCAGGTAGAGAACTATCGTGATAGCTACCTATGTATTTCATACTATGTTCTACTACGTACTTCTACTCTCCCTTCATCACAATAACTATACGCCACGAGAAGAGCTATGATATGATGGCAAAAGGAATTTGATTAATAATTGGCGGAAATGAGATATTATTCAAAAGCTATTACATACAGTAACGTTAAAGTGCCAGGTAAAATTTAATAAAGTGCCAACCCATCCACTTTCCACGTGACATAAGCCATACAAAGCCACAACGCCATAATGAAATAATGAAATAAAAAAATATTTATTAGATTTTAATTATATATATAAATAACTTAACGAATAAATATAAAAAAATTATATAAAAATATTTATTAATTAAAGTAAAAAATTACGTAATTTATTATTGAATTTAAATAAAAATAACATGAAAATTTAATATATTATTTAATATTTTACATAAAATATAAAAATAAATATAAATTTACGAAATAAATTATAAAAATTTTATTTATTTTTTTATTAAGTTTATAAATTTTTAATTTAAATCAAAATAATCTTTATAAAATTTTAAATATTATATATATAAAATTATTTAAAAATATTATTATTATATTAAAAATATATTAAAAAATAAAAAGATCATTTTTAGCCGCATTGGGATCAATTTTAGTCGTAGTCACGTGCAACCTGAATTTTAATTTTTATTATTTTTTAATTTAAATAATGGTATATTTTGTAAAATATTTGGATGGAATTTCATAAAGTTATTAATAATAATATATAAAAAGTGGTAAAAAATTACCCTGTACTGGTCAAGTGAACGGGCCATTTTCATTATGGCGTTGTGGCTTTGGTGGCTTATGTCACGTGGAAAGTGGATGGGTTGGCACTTTATTAAATTTTACCTGGCACTTTAACGTTACTGTATTACATATATCAAAAATTTCCGTAAGTCATTAACCCTTTATTAGCCCCTGAGACAGTGCGCAAACATACTAGGGTAATCAATGGCTAGAGCATACGATAGACACCAAAGGATCGCCCATTTATAGGCTAATAAGCAGAGTAGAATTCGGATTACATGTAACTAACGAGTGACGTTGCATACTACTACGATTTTTTAACTCGCGTTAACCACACAGCACACAGCGGCCATCCCGTCAAGTGGATGTTTTAACAAACTCCCATTTCACCCCTTTCCGTATGCTTGAATCCTATCCCGTACTCATGCGTTGATGCAAGGCTTGTCGCAATGGGCGATGAAGTTGGTGTCAGCGTCGTTGCGGCATTTACTACTGCAGGCACACAAGAGCTCAACGCTAGACGGCTGTTCGTTCATGCAGACGAAGACAGCTTCAGAAACATTTGTCTTAGGCTTGCTATTTGTACAGAGCTCCGAGAGGCCATTGCAATAAGCCTTGCTGATATCATTAGGTGCAAAATCTACACAAGTTAGTAAAGACTTCCCCAGCTTAATTACCCTTTAGTCAGGGATCGTACTGTGACCGTTTTCAGTGAGCATATAACCACAATAGGTATAACCTTTACCGCACTTTGGACCAATACCCTGGGAGCCGCTTGGTACAGGAGCCACGCCGGATGTAGACGAAGAGGCTCCAGCCGGAAAAGAAGGCTGGCCGGTTGACGAAGTGAAAAGCGTGAGCGCAGATCCCGTCGAGTCGACACGTAGAAGCGGGCCTCTCATAGCCAGAGAAGAACCGGCTAGGAGACCGGGACCGAAAAGAATGACGTGAAATTTCATATTCGAGTACAGGAGAGCTGCACTGAGGACGTGCTTAATATATAGCAGTTATTAGCTAAACAAGACGAGGTTATTAATGACTTCGCGGCGACCCTTGAACATCGCATAATCTATCGCCTTATATAGAGCTGTTTCGAATGAACATGAACATTCATAGAATACGGACGGAGCAATACTACAATTCTAGTACAGGCAATTACCGCGAGGGACAGACGACCCAGATGTCCGAGGACTACAACACGTTTCTAGTGAGACGTCTTCGTGATATGTTCGGATGCCTTATGCGGAAGTGAAAAGCGAACCATAAGAATCACTACCGCCCTACATTGACATAAGTATATCTTAGATGGACTATAGAGTCGGTCTATCTCAATATGTTCGTGCTGCATTGCGCGGGAACACAACAAAATGTAACTTTGTGGGATTCCTATTTTAGGAATGATTACCGCGAAGTATAGGTTGACAAGCTCGGTATTACACACATTCTATTGAAGTAGGTATATATGTGGTACCCGAAGTTGGAAGTCATAGGCTTGAAGGCATATATACCGAGTATAGTAACGTCAGCCAGGCATTTAAAGCTGGGAACAACATCTCGATATGCGTATCTGCCCTGCATAATCGAACATCCAGCTGTGGTACAAGATGTAGCCAATGCGTGTTGTAAGTCCTCGTCTAGTGGAAATGTGATTCTAGAACTTGATATAAAGGCCCGACTCGAGAGAATAAAATGGAGGTTGGTTAGCAAGGTGACGTGGTTGTGGACGACTGCCACATATTCAGAGCTAGTCGTCCTTAGCACCAGCTGTTAAGCTTTGTCTAGGAACAGTATACCCGGGTAGATAAGTAGGAAAAATAGCCCTGGCTCGCTAATAATACTTCAAGTTACGGACATACACAGTTACGTGAATCGGGAGTTGTCTCGGGAATTAGGAAAAAATTCTGTGGAATTGTTCGAAATAGCCTTACTGATTTAGCCTTGCTGAGCAGCAGAATTACCTAAAACTAAATTCGAGTAACTAACTGTTCGAATGTCAAGTAGTTAGTATATTAATAATTCTCTCGATGAACCTCTATCAAAATATAAGGGACGGAAGGATTCATTTAGCGGAGGACGGCCGATGGACATGCGGGCCGAAGCCGATTGCCCCTCTGCTCCTGCAGGTCCATCAAAGGGGTCCAACATAAAATCTTTAGATCATCGATACATTCAATTGCACGCCTTATTGTATGAGACATGGAAGTACCTGATAAGAAATGCCCCGCAGTTGATTCTAGTCGGGAATTGCCCCTCCATCCTCCCGCTCTACTAAGTTTGCAAGTCTGGACCCCGCGAAACCCGCGCAAACTTCCAGCCTCGTCTCAATCAAGTTTGCTTATCAGGTTAGGTACTTTGACAGTGACTAGGTCCTTGAATATATGCAGGAACAAGGCTTGCAAGAGCACTAATTTCAATTCCATATCTTTACTTAAAGGTCCTCTAACAATCCTAATTGTACTCTTCCTATCTGCATCTATAGGAAAATATGTCGACCTCCGCTACACAACCCGTTATAACATCGTCGACGTCAGAAGCGCAGAAGCTCACGATCAGGGTCGGCACGCGCAAGTCAAAACTAGCCCTGAAGCAAGCCGATTATGTCGCCACCTCTCTGAAGCAATTACACCCGACGGTCAATTTTGAGATCAAGGGAATGCACTCGACAGCAGACAAGGACAAAATAACAGCATTGTACAAGTTCGGTGGCAAGGGACTATGGACGAACGAGCTAGAAGCAGAACTTGTGGCAGGGGAGCTCGATATCATTGTACACTCTCTAAAAGATATGCCGACGACGCTACCAGAGGGGCTCATTCTGGCCTGCGTAACACCCCGAGAGGACCCACGTGATGTTGTTGTCGTCAAGAAAGGACTGGAAGATAAATACAAGAAACTTGCAGACCTACCAGCGGGTGCCGTAGTTGGAACCAGTAGCGTTAGACGCATGGCGCAAATTAAGCGACGGTACCCGCATTTGGAGTTCAAGGACATGCGCGGGAACATCGACACTCGGCTTCAGAAGCTCGACGCTGAAGACAGCGGGTTCTCGGTGCTGATCCTAGCCGCTGCAGGCTTGCACCGGATGGGTCTGGACGGGCGCATCACACAATACCTCGATAGCACTACAGAGGGCGGCGGTATGCTACATGCCGTTGGCCAAGGAGGCCTGGGCATCGAGGCACGAGCAGACGACCAGAAGACGCTCAGCTTACTAAAACCCCTCGAGGACGTCAAGGCCATGCTAGCGGCAGAGTCAGAAAGAAGTGTCATGAGAACGCTAGAAGGCGGTTGTAGTATTCCCATCGGCGTAGAGACAAAATGGGTAGGAGACAATACGCTGAGATTAACAGGGACAGTTGTCAACGTCGAAGGCACAGAAGCCGCCGACGCTGAGAAGGTCGAAGAGATCAAGACGCGGGAGGAGGCCATTGCGTTCGGCAAGAAAGTAGCCCAACAGCTGACGGATAACGGCGCGCAAAAGATCTTAGATGTGATAAATGAGGATCGAGAGGCCAATAAAGATAAGGCGGAACCGTGGGTACCGGCGTAGAGTTACCATATAGAACTGGGGGCAAAAATCTAGGCTTATAGGGGAAGATTGCGGACAATGCTTTTTTAGACTTGAGCCGTCCATTCTATGTAACCTTTATGTAGAATCTGCGCGGATGCTTTCGCCATGATGATGAGAATACCCCAAACGAGTTTATGATACAAGGTTGAGCCCGTCTCTGTCCCACTCGCTGGTTGTTGAATGCCAATATCCATTTCCGGTGAACACCTACCCACTACCCCCCCCCCATAACACATCACTTACACTTAGAACTCCCCATCCCTTTCATATATAAGTCTAGTGTTCCTCCGAGCCGGTAAACGTCTTGTATTCCTCGAGGTCCATAAGAGCGTCGAAGTCCTTGACGCCCTGCTCGCCAACCTGCACCTTAACAATCCAACCGCCGCCGTGCGAGTCGTCCTCAGGAACCTGGTTGATAGTACCGGGCTTCTCCTCGAGGGCTAGGTTGACGCCGGTAACCTTGCAGGCGATAGGGGCGTTGATATCGGCGGCGCTCTTGACCGACTCGACGGCGCCGATAGCATCGCCCGCGCTAACCTCCTTGCCCTCCTCCGGCAACTCAACGTATACGACGTCGCCCAGCTCCTCAGCGGCGTACTCCGAGATACCGATTACGCCAGCCGTCTTTTCGGCGTTCAGATCGATCCATTCGTGGTCCTTGGTGTACTTGCGGATATCTCCTACGGTAGCGGTTAATGGTGGTCAGCAGCAACAAGAGTGCAATATGCTTAGGTGTGCTCGTGTAAGTGTCTGTAAGCGGTATTTTGGGGGGTTTTGGTGGCTTAGTTGAAGGGCGACATCGGATAACTCACTTATCGGCGAAGCAGAGAAAGCTCGCAGCGTCGCGGGTTGCCAATTGGATCTTGTGCGTGGTGCTTGTGCTAGTCGAGAGAAGGTCGACGGTCTAGCTGCCCGAAGGCATCGCGCGATTGAGGCCATTATGAGAGTAGAGTAGAGTAGAGTATGATCGTAAGAGGGGAGATGTTGTAGACCGCAGCTTTGATGAAGCTAGCTTTTTCTTTCGAAGCTTTGTGCTTAGGTAGGTACTGGTACTGGTACTGATATCGTATCGATGATACCACTACTTTGAAATTGTTTAATGTTGGTACGATCCTCTCAGCTTGGCGCCGAACAGTTGCCCGATGTATGAGTCCGCACTGTTTCTTTTAGTGTATCATGCACCTAACCATACAGTGCGTCGTGTCTACATCTATCATAGGGTCCGATAAGGTATTAGCCAATCCAAACTCCTCAATTGCCCCGCGTCATGATGAAAACTCCGGGTTATTCCACTAGACCTCAATTGATAAGAAAAATCATTATAAGCATAGATATGCTTATGTAGTTAGAGACATACTTAAATCAACGGATAAAGAAGTATATACGGAGGAAAGATAAAAATGAAAGATAACCTGAAGTAAGTCTATCTCCAACAGCGTTGACAAACGGACAGTTGGTGCTATGATATTCAAAGATACATTATTCAACGTAAGAGGCTTAGGTATAGCTTTGAGTTCTAACAGACGAAATTCACGACTTAGTTTAGATAGAATATTCCGAGCCTACCGTTAAATAGTCAATATGCATTGCTTTGCATCAAAAGTGGCAGATATGGTCTTGTGCCATGTTATTATAACGATTGTATTTTATCTGTTTAATACTCTATAACTTGAAGACTTAGCCTATCAGCTACTATGCCGCAGTAGAAGTCGACCGTCATCATTGTGTATCCTGAATCCTAAGTAGTTAGGGTTATATAGACATTCCTCCAAAAGCGCCTTTCAACTCGATATCCTTATGCCCCTTCGTTGCTACTATAACTATCTACTTGTTAAGTTGTATTTCTCTTTCTGTAATTAAGGCGGACCGATATTATACTTAAGTAGGACACTATAAAAGTTCCACTGGTTGAATAATAGGTCGATTATCGTGGGAAGAAGAAATTATTAGCTGAAGCCAACACTAACCGTGCCCAAATGAGCGGCATGGCAATAAAAGTTTTAGCGATATTTCTACGAAGTCTCAAGTACTCTATATCGCAATCCAAATGTTCCTAGATATTTAGCCGTTGTTTTGGTGGTTCGCCTCTAACTACTCTTTGAATAATAATCACCAATAGATCCAAGCGGCACATCTAGAGTTACACAGAAAAATAGGCGCATATATAATTAAATCTCACAGAAATAAAGGATCACAGTAAGTAATATAGACGATAATTTAATAAATAAATTAGATTTAAACGCGATACTTTAATGTGATTGGTCTAGACTCGATGCCAGTACACACGCCCTTCGGAGGACAAGTGTCTAGACAGGGCGGAAAGGGGCGAAGGTCCCCAAGAAGAAAATATCGTGATATTATTGGATTCAGTTAAAAATGCTTTGATTATCCAGAATTGGGACTTCCTATCGAAACTTTAGTGCTCCTTATTCAAAATCCTGAATATTCAATTGTCATCATCATTGTCGCTTATATCCAAGTCACCTAGTAAACTTTCTACCATGACGGTAGGCTTTGTTAATAAGATATGTCTCTTATCAGGCTGCGAGAATAAGGCCGAGTCCTTGCAATGCCCAACATGCCTGAAGCTGGGTATCGACAATAGCTACTTTTGCTCGCAAGACTGCTTCAAAAGTGCTTGGGTAATGCCCCTCTGGCACCTTATCCCACGTATTAGACACTCGCGTCTATAACTCCTAACCTGATTATTTCGAATACTAATAATATATAACAGCCCGAACACAAGAAGATACATAAAGCTTTCCTAAATAAGACACATAGTGGTATTTACCAATTCAACTATGTCGAGGGCATTTCTAAACTATCTATAGCGACCGGGACGGGAACGTATAATCCGTTCCCTTCATTCTACTTCACTGGACCATTACGACCGGTTTACCCGCTCTCTCCGAGGCGCGAAGTCCCAAAGACGATACGGCACCCAGACTACGCAGAAACGGGAATCCCAACAAGCGAGTTGAAGCTTATTAGGAATAAGATCGATATCCTCGACGCTGAAGGACAAGATGCTATGCGTAAGGTTTGTAGACTAGGCCGAGAGGTATTGGACCTTTTGGCCGCCGAAGTCAGACCTGGAATTACCACAGACTATCTTGACGAGCTTTGTCATAAGCTCTGTATAGAACGCGATGTAAGCACCTTTATGCTAACCCTTTAGTTTTCTATGATGTTAATCATATTCAGTCCTATCCTTCCCCGTTGAATTATAAGGACTATCCCAAGTCGTTTTGCACGTCTATAAACGAAGTAATCTGCCACGGCATCCCAGATCAGCGCGTACTAATCGACGGCGACATCATCAACTTAGACGTCAGTTTATATCACGGAGGATACCACGCGGATCTGAACGAAACATACTATGTCGGTCACAAGGCAAAAGCAGACCCTGATACGGTCAGAGTGGTTGAGACAGCAAGAGAATGTCTCGAAGAAGCAATCAAAGTTGTGAAGCCCGGTTATCTGGTCCGAGACTTTGGTGCCGTCATTGAGAAATATGCAAAATCAAAAGGGTGTAGTGTCGTCAGGGACATTGTCGGACACGGCGTCAACACCCATTTTCACAGCCCACCTAACGTTCCTCACTACACCAAGAACAAGGCCGTTGGAGTTTGCAAGCCTGGAATGACGTTTACTATTGAGCCTATGGTTTCTTTGGGGAAGCATCAATTTGTGACGTGGCCTGATAACTGGACCATTACAACAATTGATGGGAAGAAGTCGGCGCAATTCGGTGAGTTTACCTAGACGTCTATTTATATGTGTTCGGAGAATTCATATGATTGACATATATATCCTAGAGCATACATTACTGGTGACCGAGACGGGCGTCGAGATCTTGACTGCTCGGCTACCAACATCGCCTGGCGGCCCTGTTCGTACGCCGGAGGATGTTTGACTGTTACTTTAGCGATACTACAATTTCAAAAACAGGACTGTTTTCTGCGCTAAGCCTAATAGATGCGTTTCTTAATTGTAGACCGTGAGTTTCATAGCCAAATTATACCATGAACCTAGTTCATTAACATCATCCAAAATAATTTCCTAAATTACTTCATATGGTCTGATAGGCTATTAACTCAGAAGAAATGTTCAGTTTAATGTCCTTCTGGTTTGCGTAAATTCATATAATACCAAGGAGGTTAGGTTAATTGCCCCCCTCGTCAACAGCGTAGTAAATAATTGTCCGGAGCACCAATTACGACCAACAACGTTAACAGGTAGCTGTCTATTCATCTGCTGACGGGAGCCTCCCGCAATATTTTGATTTAGGTGAGACCTATGTACCTTAGGTACTTAACCTAGGTAAACACCTAAATCAGGATGGTTTCCGATTCGACTGTCCGTATGTTACACGTGAGAAGAGGTCTACCAATGGGTAGCTGGCGACCTATTAACGTTACCAAATTCAGAATAACAACATCAAATGTTTAGTGTTTCCTTTCGCGAATTGATGTTTCGCGTCGCGTTCGACAAGTGATCATCCTTCCTGTATTTTGCAATGTCTTATTGGCTCGTTGCTGTTGGTACTATAAACTTAGCCGCCCCAAAGCTTGCAACTGTCAGCTACGCCAAATATAATACCTACGTCAAGTTCAAACAAACGAACCACATGCAGGACTTGGATGATGGTAGAAGAAGAAATAAAACGTCAAAACAGATTAAAAATAGTTAAATAAGTGGGATTTGGCACCGAACTTAATTCAGTGTTATTATGAGGTTTATGTACCTAATTGCAGTAGGCACTTGCCTGAAAACGTTGAACCCATTGGTGTACTTCGTAATGTATTAAAGTAAGCAATAGCCCACATGTGCAATAACCCACCTAAAATAAACCCACCCAAACAGCCAAACCAGTTGACCTTGTCGCAAAAAAAAGCCCCCTTTGCCTTTGCCCCTCAATCGCGTACATAGTACATCAAGTATTTCGTACTTCTTAAGGTTCCACCCGTCACATCTCCCGGGATCCCGCATCGTTAAGCATCCTACCTACCTTGACTTTGCTCGACTTGAACTTTACTACCATTCCACCAACTGCACGTCTTGACCTTTTTCAAGGCCCGCCTCAGGTACGAAGGTATGTATGTTTATATGCATGAAATTATTACCTACTACCCCGGACAACCTTAGGTTAGGCATTCATCCGTTGGCGACCAAATTGTCAGTTGCTATCGCCTGAAATTCTGGGAAATTCTGGTCCTGGTCCTCATCCTTCCCCTTTCCCACCAGATTTAATATCTACCTATCTACATACCATCTGCATCTTGGGATCGACAGCCTAACCTTGACGGGTTGCCAGCTGAATTCATTTCCATATAGATACTTACCTAGACATCAAGACTAACACGTATAGACGCTGAAGTACTCGTACCCAACCAACATTCCTCATTACTTGTCGGAACCCTCGCTATCCATTCCAAGACAACTCCGATGAAGTCAAATACGGGGCTAATCTGAGACCTTCTCATCATCCGTCCCGAGATTCGCCCACATTCCTTGCGTTTGAATAGCGTTTAGCTATCATTTCTGCCTCGTCTTCTCCACTGTCGCCTTCCAACCTGGATTCGTCAACCCTTTCGGCGGGGTCCGGAGCCCAATTCCACGACGCCGTAGACACAATGGAGCAAGATCACATTGCTGCGCCTCTCCCCCACGACATCCACGATGTCCAGGATGATACCCTTGTTGGCTTCGATGGACCTATGCATATCAGGAGTGAATCAGGCGGTCATGAACCTCATCATCGGCAATCGCAGTCTCTCGACCGAGGACTAGCTAACAGCGCGCGTACCGATGACATCGACCCCAACACTATCGACTCAAACGCTGTCGACCCCAGTACTCAGTTCGAGGCTCATCCATATGAGCCTCCTGCGCAGTCCATGTCGAGACCTGCTTCATCATCCGGTCCTGGCGAAAGGCTCTATACCGGCGAGGCTCCGAGGGAGAGCAACGGTGCAGATCGCAATACTCGAAATCACGTCGTGATCAAGGTCGGAATGGTGGGGGATGCGCAGATCGGGAAGACATCTCTGATGGTAAAATATGTTGAAGGTAGTTGGGACGAGGATTATATTCAGACGTTGGGTGTCAACTTCATGGAGAAGACGATCAGCATACGAAATACCGAGATAACATTCAGCATATGGGATCTAGGCGGCCAGAGAGAATTTGTCAACATGCTTCCCCTAGTTTGCAACGATGCCGTTGCCATACTGTTCATGTTCGACTTGACGCGCAAGAGTACGCTTAATAGTATCAAGGAGTGGTATCGCCAGGGACGAGGCTTCAATAAGACGGCGATTCCTATTCTGGTAGGGACGAAATACGACCACTTCGTTAACTTCCCGAGGGAGGACCAGGAGGAGATTTCGAACCAGGTAGGCTTGGATGCGATACGAAGTAAGGAATTGTAGCTTACAACCGATTTAGGCAAAACGGTTCGCCAAGGCGATGCGAGCTGCTCTTATCTTTAGCAGTACTAGCCATAGCATCAACGTCCAGAAGGTTAGTCCCATCTCATACGCGCCCTTTTTAGATGCCACTATGCTAACCATTTCTCATAGATCTTCAAGATAGTCTTATCAAAGGCCTTTGACCTCAAGTGCACAATACCTGAGATTGAGAATGTTGGCGAGCCCCTCCTGCTCTACCAGTCGGTCTAAACTCGAGCCCAACCTACACTTTGTAGCGTTTATTGTAAGAGGTTCTACATGTTGACCTAGCACTTATTATAATTGCGTGGTTCCGATTCCTGCCATTTTACATTTTACGATATTCAACGGCCTTTACGACAATACGAGTTCCAGCCAGTTCTGGACCTTTAAATCCTGTAGCTTTGCCACATAGCCGAAGCATGTTCTTGACGCCCGACGGCCAAGCCTTTCAGCCTTAGAATATTCGATGCTTTACCTCGAGAGCATTCCTTTGATGAGCTGACATAATAACGCCGAATCGTTAAGAATACACATCTAGATACATTTCCTTTGTATGAACCGTCGCTAGGCGGACTCGATTTGCACCAGGGTTTACAACATAGTTTCGCATTAAGGAGTACATGGGCAATCTCGACTCGGAGAGGGCATTTGCCAAGCAGGATCACCAGACGACAGATTGCCTGTCACTTTTTGGCATGGATAATCAACAAAAAATACACCCATCGTCGATCCTGAATTTGTCTTTTCGGTCACTTGGTTTTTTATTTCGGCCCGGAGGAGGGGGTTTGGAGGCCATATATGATTTTAATCACTAGTCGTTTGGTACGCAACGCAAGTTGACGTTGTAGTTCCGCACGATGTTAGTTTTGAGCTTCACACCTACCCTACCTACTTGCCCGTCTTTGCACATCATCGCTGTATGGTGTATGGCAACATTGCAATGCCGAGGAGGAAAAGAAGGGAGAACGACAATGTTGGAACTACCACTACGGTCAACAGTAGGGTAGTAAGTAAGTAAGCAGAAGAAGAGAAATCAAGACTGATGAAAAGCAAATACTTCGTGTCCGTTGCCGTGGTTCGACTTTGTGAATGCTACTTTGCATATACCTTAGCTGTTCTCTTGTAAGAACTACATCCTATCGCTTACTCTACCGAGGAAATTTGATATGCAAGTACGAGTTACACTATCATAGCAAGGGGAGTTTTTATTTAATCAGCCTCGTCGCACTTCTATCTAATTTTCTCTAGCTCATGGGCAGTATTTATATAGAATTACACGGGGAAAAAATTACTCTCCCCTATCCACACCTATGCTAGGACCCACCCGCCCATCGTGAATGCCGCCATTCCCCATCTCTCCCTTCCCTGTTCTCTATAAACTACAAAATATAGACCCATCCATACACAGGAGCCTCCACTAAGGACCTGCACCCCAGAATCGTCTTATTACATGGGAGAGAATCTTAAGCCGGCCCACCCTTCTGCACGCCCTCCCCCTCGCCCTTCTGCGGGTCCTCGCGGGGGTGCTCGGCGGCGCCCTTCTTGGACGGGATGTCGGACGAGCTGCTCGCGACGCGCGTGTCCTTTTTCCGGATCATCTCTTTGTACTCCTCCTGCGCGCCCTTCTTCTCCTCGTAGTTCGTCGCCATGTCGCTGTTGTCCGCGCTCGTAGGCGGGACTTGGCGGCCGGTCTGGCTGCTGCCGAAGGCAGCTTTGGGGTTGCCCTTTTTGGGGAGTTGGTTTGTGGGAGGGTTTTCGTCGCTGTCGGAGTCGGAGTCGGAGTCGGATCCGTCGTCGGATGAGGGCGGTGTGGAGGCGGGAGTGGAAGATGAAGAGGAGTCTTCGCCGGATTCTACGGCGGGAGCTTTTTCCTCGTCGGGGACTGGGGCGCCGCCGTGGGTGTGCTCGGAGGTCTTTTTGGAGGGGCTAGAGGAGAGAAGCCATGCTAAGGCTGGGATGGTGAAGACGACGGAGCCGATGAGCCTGTGGGTGGTAGATGTTAGTACACAATTGCTTATACAATATTGTCCTCTACCCTCTCAAAATTACCCAATTAACCCAGAAAAGTTGAAAGCTACTCACCAAGGCATATCACTGGACTTTTCCGCGCCCACGCTTCCGGCATGACCACTTGATGAATATCCTCTCCTCGCAGCCGATCGTAGTACGGACTGCCGCTGAGCTGGCGTAGACGCAGTAGCTCGTTTAGCGGCGGTACGCAGGGAGGAAGTAAAGACACGAGATGTCGACATTGTCTATGTATTTTTCAAGTTGCGTCTCAATGGCACGAGAGTGAAGTGAAATCAAAGGTACGCAGCACAGGGAAGCAGAAGTTAAGGACAAACTCGATCTAGAGGGAGGGAATTCCAATGAAAGTTTGTTTCTTATGTAAGTCGGGTATTGTCTCTTAAGGTTCAATCAGCCGAGGAATTCCGTCAGACCTTGTGCTTGCCGAGAGAAATTAAAAAAAAAAAAAAAAGGGGACGAGGAGGATAGTTAGCTATTATTATTATTACTATAGTTTAGCTTTGAGAAATAATTAACTAAATACATGATATCTATTTTGGAATCTTCTGGCTTTCTCTTGCTAATTGTTTCGACAATTTGGTGATTCCTTCTTTGAAGTCATCCATGTCATCCATTCTTAGCAGCTTTTACCTTAGGTACATAGCAGCTTACTGCGTCCATGACCGGAGCTTGTGTGGGGCCTTCCCCGGTAAAAAGGCACCATTTCCACTAAACATCACCGTTCCTTTACGTCATTAGAACCCAAGTACGTACTCCCAATTGCCTAGTCCGAACTGAGGATAGCTTGGCAACTTGGCCATAGCTCTTTTTGCGCTTTTATTACTTTTATGTACTTCCGTAATGTACCCGTCAGGATTCTAAACATCCGACCTTTTACCGGGGCTTCGCCCCTAAGGTCAGGGACTTTTAGATGGAAACGTACTTTTAAATGGAAATTTCTGTAGCTACTTTATTTAGTATGGGTCCCGCACCTAAAATCCAAGTACCACCGGAATAATGAAATATCACATTAGTTACAAATCCAAACCCTTCATTATTTACATTTGCCACCTGTTTTAAATCTCAACATCATCAAATACGTTGATTTTCAACATCTAAATCAGTCACCCACAACTGATTTAAATACCCAAAACCACGTAATGTATTTATATTACAGGGTCTTTTACCCTTAATTAATTAATAAAGGCATCAAAAGGTGTATTGTGTGTAAATGAAGCATTTGTGAATATTACGATAAATAACGGACTTTGTCCTGGATAATTAAGTAAAATGAGGGGTTTATTACATAATATGGAGTTAAGGTATTAGACACTTGCATGTAAAATAGACTATTCATTTCAAACGAGATACAAAATTTTGTATGAGAAACGCTAGTAAAATTTTGTATTGAAATTTCTATCTAAAAGTACGTTTCCATCTAAAAGTCCCTGACCTTAGGGGCGAAGCCCCGGTAAAAGGTCGGATGTTTAGAATCCTGACGGGTAACCTTCACTAATACTTAGAAACATCCGAAACCGACGTTGTGAATCAAGGTATTTTTCATCTTGACTATATTGACTAGGTTAGGTTACCTATCTACTATCACAGCACTTGAATTATCATGAACTAGAGGTAGTCAGCCACCTACTACGTACTAAAGACAAGCGATTAACCCTTCTTCTTGTAGCAGGTATAGCGATAGTCATCGGATACATACCTAGGTACCTAAGGTACCTAACCTAGGTATGTAGTCTAGACGTCGTAGGTGCGATGGCTACACATTTTTTAAGCGTTCTAAACTTCCCCTTATGCAGCTATCTCTTTATTCTCTTCCCGCAGCGACTTGAGTTGTCGTTCGAAGTCCTTATTGACCCATTCCCAATACTGCTGCCATACGGGGTTTTGTACTGCCTGTGACGCCTGAGCTTGTCCTACCGAGCTGCTTGGTCCACCACCTATACTAGGCAGAGTAGTCTTGGTTTTCTCGACTAGGAGGAGGGTAACGCGTAACACGCTTTTAATAGCCTCCTCTTGCTTCTCTACCTCCTGCTTCACCGCCCCGTCCCTGAGTTTAGTCGATAGCGTCTTCCTGTAGCACTCGGCGATCGTATCTAAGCGCCGAGTCGTCTCTTCGGGATCAATCACGATCAACTTGCTCAGCATGAGATTACATAGGGACCGGATGTCATTTTCATCGTTAAGACCGGCGATGATGCGATCGTAGAATTCGAGAGAACTGACGCGTGAAAACGCCGTCTCCATGAGGGCATATAGAGTCTCGTATGCGCTCTAGATGAAACGATTAGTAACTTTACTCTAATAGGGACGGTCTAGACCCTAACTACTTACCTTGCGAACCTCTAATCCGTCATCCACCTGATGTTTAAATGGTCCCATCTGAACTTCGCGGATGAGTTCCGGTTTGATGACAGACTCTTGTACGACATAGGGTATTAATTCACCCAGATGAGGCAAGATCAGATCCGGTTTGTTGTGTGCTGCCGAATTTAAAGCTGTCATGCCCAGGCGGCGGATCTCCATGTCTTTATCCTTTAGAACGGTCAAGAGCATATCGAATAACACCGTCTTTAACATTAGATCGAAAGACTCGTCGCTATCTGGGAGTGTGTATCGAAGCGCTTGTACAGCTACTCCTCTAAATGCCGGCGAAGGGTCTCCCAGAAGTTCCTTCGAAGGTTAGTAATTATTCAAGAGTAAGTGTATTGAGACGTACCTGTAGTTTCGGGATATAGGTCTTAGGCTCCATAATAGCCAATCGCCCGATGCACTCTGCGCATATCGCCTTATTATCATCAAGTTGAGATGCAGAGAAAAGTAGACGCCAAATTTCGCTCTCATACGAGCTGATATTTGTTGACGATGCAATTGCCTGGTGGAGGATCTCTCTGATGGATTGGAGAAGGAGGTACTGTTGGCCTCCAGGCTGCTTGATTGCGTCAAGAATAGTTGGTAGAAATACTGACACATTCCCTGCGCCCGCACGCCCAAGAGCAACCGCGGCGGATACCGAGACTTTGTCTGGCTCGTTGTGGAATTGCTGTAAGAAGATATTCGGTTGGAGGCCAGACTTAGCTCCGAGCCGCAATCCAATCTCTCCTAATACCGCCAACGCAAGACTTTGCCTGGCAGTATCGGGTGGCGTTTTGCTGCTCGACTTATTGAGCTCGTCGATAAAACCCTCGACGCTAACATCGACCTGCCCGCCGCTCGCGACGAACAAAGCACCTGCAACTTTACCCACGACCGCGGGGTCGCCCGCCACACCAACTTCTAGGACGCCACGCATTAACGGATTTCCTATACCCGTTTCACCAACGCTCGTCACAAGAGTCACAAAGGACTCCAGCGCTACGCCGGCGATACTCTTCTTAAGAAGTTCGCAAAGGGGCTTGATGAAAGTAGGCGACGAGATCAGCTGTGGATGTACTCGTTGAAGCTGGGCAACGACAAGTAGAGCGGGGCTCAAGAGATAGCTATCATTAGTAGAAATTACAGGCAATATAGCCGTCACGATCTCATTGGCTGTGTCCACTTGAATCTTGTCACTGGCTGCCGGGGAAAGAACTAGGTGCTGTAGAGCTTGGATGCTGGCTGCTCGGAGAGCACGATTTGCCTTTCGAAGTTGACCACAAAGCTCCAATGCGACTTGTTCGATCCAACTAGGATCGAGGTCAATAGGCGGTAGGGAATGTGCCGCTACGTTGTCGATTGCTCGTACGGCGTGTAGACGCGTGGTTTCGTTCCGTAGACGATCCAGAAGCAAGTTCAAAGCAGCCTGACGCTTATCACTAGAAATAAGAGCGATTCCATCTGGGGACGAAGTTCTCGAGATTAACGTCCCAAGTGCTTGGATAGCCTTTTGGCGCACCTCAGTGTCGGCATCGTTCGCAGAAGCACGATCCAATATGATCTCGTAGAGTTTGTGCAGCTCAGGCTTATACTTATCGGTCCTGAGTCTTGCGCGAGGCGGGGTTATGGCCTTGACCAGTTCTTCGGCTGTCTTGATGGCCTCGCTAGAAATTTTATAGAATCTGTCACGGACTGCAGAAACCACCCCTGCGACAATACTTTCGAGGTAGCGCTGAAATAAGTTTGATGAATGAGTCTTTGCTATATCACTTGTAAAGTGAAGAACCGCCACACGTAGTGTAGTAGCAGTAGCCGACGCGGCACCCGACAATGCAGTCGACGTTGAACCGGTACTGCCAGTCATTCCTTTGGTAACGTCGATAATGGGCTGCATAACCTGGTCAAAATAATCGGCCAAACCACCGTTCTGCACTGCGATTAAATCATCTAGCAAATTGATTATCGCCTGCTTCGTGGCTATTTGTTTCCCTTTAAGCAGTTTGGTTGCCGACTTGACAATCTGCGGCGTAAGTTTCTTAAGGTCGGCGCGTGGCCCAGTCGGCGGAACTGATTCGCGAGTAGGGGAGGTAAGACCAGTAGCTCCAAGATAGGGAGCCTTATTGGTGTATGTGATACCGCCGCTACTCTGCCTTCGACGCTTTCGGTTTCCTCCAAGAGAATGTAGGAACTCCTCATCTATTGAGATAGATTGGATCACACCTTCGCCCGTCTTTCGAATTAAAAGCGCCACAGTCCCAATTATCTCGAGGCGCACACTTTCTTCCCGCTCGTCAAATCGCTTGACAAGCGGAGGGGCAATTTCATTATATAAAGTCCCCTTCTCGAGAAGATCGGTGCTTCGCGTAGATATTAAGGTATAAAGGGCCTTTGCGGCACATCTGCGGACCTTCCAACTTGCATCGTCGTCGTCGTCGTCAAACCCGTCGTCGTCATCAAATTCATCGTCAACATCATCATCATCGGCATCATCGGCATCATCTTCCTCGTCCATATCTTCGTCTTCATCAACCGCATAGTTGGGGTCAAACTTCGTATATCGAAGACATGCTGCGATGACTTCATCGGTATAATCCCTCATTTGCAGACCACATGACGCCAAGAATGACTCGAGCGTAACCAAAGCTGCCTCCCGGACTTCGTTGAACTCGGGATGAAGTTGATCATTGCCTTCGCTAAGAGCATCGAGCTGGCTTTGTAACTCTTCCTGACTTAGGGGTGATAAGACAAACTCGATGAGCTGAGGTAAGTACTCGCCGAACTTGTATGGAATCGACCGAGCAAGAGATCCCATTATAGAAATATAGAGGCGGCGCATGACTGGACTAAGTTTGGGTTGCTTTAAGGCTTTCTGGAT